AACACAAGCCAGTCTGGTTTGATCGCCGCGAGGGAGATGTTTCATCCGGAGCGGTTGGTTCGTCTCTCGCCCGAGGAACCCTTCCGGTTGACCCTCATCGAAACGAATACACTCGAGCCGGACACGCGGTCATCAAACCTGACGCTCTAGTCCGGAGCGCCATGTGGGTGGTGAACCGGGAGACGAGGTTTTCGGGTGCTTGACTGAGGGGCTCGCGGATTGCTAATCCTAAATGTACTCATGAGGTCGAACTCGGTCGCAGCAGGCGTCATTCTTTGCTAGAATCCATTCGAGAATAGGTGCAGGCCCTCCCTCGACCTCAGCCTGAAGCATGGTCGTGCTTTCAATTCTCTCGCATAATAGAAGGGTTCGGCGAGTTCGGCCGATCCCGCGCGAGAAATTCGGTAGTTCGTGGTGTCGGAAGCTGACTACTGCCAGTCGATTCTGACTGGTCAAGACTTTCATCGACCGCGCTCTACCAGTTTTCCTATCATCATCATCATGTGCTCTCCGGCCCTTATCACGCACATGGGGAAGAACGTTCCTTGATTTGACACCGCTCTGACGGACGGTCATCGACCCTTCAAGGTTGACCCACTTTCATGAAGAAGGCCGCGCGCTGCCAGCTACAGTGACGCTTGGTAAGCCGTCAAGCTGGAAGGGGACGGATGGCCCGCAGCTATTTTTAACCTCATCGACTACGGAGCTGACTAGGAAGCGGTACCGTAGTTCGAACCAGGAGCGGTCGATGCTCCCAGGGCATCCACGCTGTTTCGGGTGAAGACTCAAATGCAAATGGAAAAAACAAAATATTCCCCTCGGATTTCATTATGCTCCTTTCACATTTTTTCTATTCCAAGCGCTACTCCTGAGACGCTTGTGAGTTCGGTGACTGCTGGGCTGTCTGGATATCCTGGAGCGAAGGATCGGACATCCGCGAGGCGTGGTATGCATCGTGCATTCTGTAATGCCTTTCCATTCCGACGTTCAAGAGTTTGATTCTGACTTGGGGAGCCTTCGCGGGCTCCACAGGGCGACGAATGACCCGACGGAAGCTTCGAGGAACGACCAAGTTAACGTAAACTCCTCGTCGGTGCACGGCGATACGAATGAGTCCATTTCGGATGCATGACCGTTTTCCTTATTCCCCGGAGCGTCGCTTTCCTCCGATAGATAAGTCTCAGCTCGTTTGACTCTTCTCCCGCATAGCCGAGAGGAGCATGCGTCAATCACGCACTTGCTTAAGATATGCAAGAGGTCTTGCTATTGAATTGTCAATAACGAGGATCCGATGACCGAAACTGCATCTCAGTCAGAGCAGGAACAGCGCGTAGCGGAGACCTTGGTCAAACACGGTTGGCCAAGCTCATGCCAAGGTCGGACGACGGCATCGATCAAGTATAAGCGTGGCGGAAACGAATCTGGCATTGAACAGAGAAAGTAAAAATAGAAAGCGGATCCCGTACATCCGGATCAAGGAGGTTCAAGCTGACTTCTGTTTGCCATGCTCCGAATCGGACACCAGCCAGAGCTTACCATCTCTGAGATCCTGGAAAGAGACGTCGCTCTAGAGAAGAACAATTAACCCTTCGGGGATTTGACCTAACCGCTTTTCAAACTCCTTGTTCCCTGATGCAGTGGAATCGCGAGGGCGAGGCTTCGGAATCGCGAACACGAGGCATCGGAAATTCATTCTCGACATGGGAGCTCAATATTCATTTTCGGTGAGCTCGGGAGAGTATTCGCGCTATGCGGCGTAGTAATCGAAGTCGTATCTCCGCTTATGTCCGAAGTCTTTCATTGGAGCCTCCGAGATCGGACCTGAAAATTCAAAGTGTAAGCGTGCCAGGTGTGCCCGTGTGAGTTGAAGCATTCGGAACGGCTGTCAATGAAGTTGGTTGCCCCGTCACGTCGGTCGTTCGGTCGGTCGCTCGGGGTTATTGGCCGCTCCTACGGTGATGAAAGTGAGTTCGTTGAACCAAAGCGCCGGGTTGAGCCGCCGCCGTCAAGGACACTAGTGACCTGAGTCGATCCAGCGCACGTGAACATCTCCCGTCAGCACGTCTCCCTCGAGACGGACTGGAAAATATTCACCATCCTCAGAGGGTCGTCCTCATCTCCGTTTAGGATGGACGCTAGCGCTTGAGGCTGCTCCGGGTCCGTACGGGTCCCCGATACTTGGGGAGACGATGGGTCCGGAATTCAAACTCGGAATTTCACAGCAGCACCGACGCATCGATTTTCTTCGACGGTCAAGAAAGCATATCGGGGAGGGGGGTATCTGTGCCGATTCCCAACAGTGACCGAGTGGTTCCTGTACGGAGCAGTGCGTCGTCTAATCAAGACCAGTGTTCGTTGGTGGCGCCATGGCGTAACGCTTTCAGGTTCAACCACCCCGGCAGTGTCCTTCAGCTGTTGGCACAGAGCAGGGGCAAAGAACTTTGTTGAAGGAGACTGAACCCTTCATTCACGATCTCGTTTTCAGACTTTGCCTTCTCATCTTATTCCTTATTCGTGCTCTCATGAATCGTCGCGCTGAGTACTATGTAGAAGCTTTCAAGTGGAGCTCTCGAGAAGAGGTCCGTCCCAGAACGGTGTCGAGTCTTCATCGAGCGGTTTCTTTTTATTCGTAGGCGTGATCAGATTTTGTCCTGACGAAGGCCCCGGAGTTCTGCGACTTCTCACGCCCTCTGCTTTTCTTCTCATAGTCTTCGATACAGGGACTCGCCTCGCGGATGAGGCTCATCGCGGGACCCTCTAATGAAATCCCTCCATTATGATCTCTGAGCGACAGACAGTGGTGAATGGACGTGGAGTCAGGAGTCAGGCTGCGAGCCAATCGATACTGATCTGGGGATTACGAACTGCTCAAAAAGAGGCGAATGGGAAAAATTATCGAGCGTGTCCCAGACTCGAATCGAGTACTCGGCCGGGAAGAGACATTATTGAGCATTATTGAGTCATTTTCAATTCTCGCTGATCCTCAAGGTTGATGTAATGCGTCGGGTTCACCAAAGAGGTTCTTGACTCGACGCTTGTCTGAGGTTCAAGAACCCGAACGTTTTGAAGGCCGGGTCTTCGACATTGCATCAGCAGCGTTCTCGGGAGGGCTTCGCTGGAGCATCGCTGAGCAATGCTCTTCGGCTGATCAAGTTTCTAACTCACCGCCGTCTGGCAATGAGTCACTTGGTTCCCTTCCTGGAACCACAGAGTACAGGTATTCGGCTCCGAGTACGTCCAATCCCTGGAACCGATCCGAAGACAATCGGACTCCACATCGGACCCTAGAAAATCTGTTGGATGGGCCTCGGGCTCGAAAGGTCCATTTAGAGCCTGAACATCTTTTGTTGGTCCAAAAATCTTAAATTCGCGTTCGAATAGGCATGGATAAGAACACGTCGTGCTGAAATGGTCATTGGCCAACTGAAGTCAACGGACTGAGGCTTGCTCGACGGCAAAAGCGTCGAAGCCGGCACCGGCAGCGTCGCCGGCGGCAGCGACGGCAGCTCTGAATACGAGGAGAGAAGCCACGGACATCCTTGAGCTGTGATTGACCGAGCGTCGACCCGAACGCGACGAGAAATGCCCTATCGTGACGCAAGGATAGCTTCCGGTGGCGTCCACTAGGGGCGCCCGAGTCGTCGAACGCGCCAAGGTCTTCTGTTCGCCCGGATCGCGAATCCGTCCCACCGAAAAGGAAGAGCTCGCCGCGCGCAGCGATCGCAGATGGTCTCGCAGACGTTCCCAGTCCCAGATCTCCTCGATCTTGGGTCCCCACGATGACTTCGGGGGCATCCGCACTTGCTCGAGATCTGTCCTGCGGGATCTAGAAAATCCGACCCGGGGGACAATGATGACCACCCTCCATTCTGGACGAGTATCTCGGCGAGGGGGAACGACAGCCGGTGAAAGAGCTCGAGCTATTCTCGTTCGAAACCCTAAACTTCAATGCAGCTAGATCTTGAAAGATATCTCGCCACTATGAGGCGACTGATGAATGCGTACTCCACGCGAACGACTCTCTCCCTCATTCGGAGATTTAAGCGCTTGAGCTAATTATGGCTCGAGGTGTCCAATTTCCGAGACCGCTCTCGAATGCTGGATTTACATAGGTAGTTCGAGCATCATGGATCCTAGCGACCGGATTATCCGGTCGGTCTGCGTCAAGTGCGAGTCCCGGGACGACGAGGAGCTCCAAGGACGGACGAAACTTGATCGAAGCTGACAAGAGAGTTGAAGAGTTCCCGTGTCGGTATCTGCCGTGATAAGCACAAAGTACGCTCAATCGCCGGATCGCAACGAGCCCGATAGCACACGCAAGCCTTTGAGGACGCGTATACATATTCTGATGCACTCTAGGAGACGACACCGAACGTATCGCCTACGATCTACTATGTGAGTCTTTCGGAAGTTTCAGGGCCGCAGGGTGTTGGGATCAAGCTCCTCATGGGAACCAGGCGCTAAACAAACTCCGGCTCACCAATTCCCAGTCCGGGGAATTCTCTCAGATGATCAGAAGACTTGTAGAGTTTCATTCTTTCCGCTTTGCCGTCAATCATGATCGAGACTCAGAATATGACAGGTCCGAGAGCGGTTTCCCAGCTTGAATGCTCTCCGTATCCCACCACATCGGCTCGGGAGATTCCTGCAGGGTGATCGCTTCACGGGTGCTGTGGTGGTGGCTTCCTCCTCTCCGCTGGAGACGTGAGGTCCGAGAACTTCCCGAATTCGGAAACCGGGATCACGATGATTCCCTGAGCTCAAAAGTAGTCGAGTGCATCATGCGAGCGAATGGATAAGCCTCGACGCTGAGTGAGCGAATTTCTCATTGGTATCTTCCTACATCGGTATTGCATGACTTGTTCGTTAGATCCGAGCGTCCTGCCGCCACTCGATCTTTAGCTGCGCAGGAGATTCACTGACTCCACGCACGTTGCAAAAACTGCACGTCGCCGAAGATGAGCATGTTTACGAGCATATTGCGGGTCTGGACCGAATCCATCTTGGAATTCGCAAGAAGGTCAAAGACTTCACGTGTTGTGAGCTATAGCTGGGGTAAGAACATTGAATTGGCATGAATGCATCTCATTTGGCTGGATGCTCGACGGAGCGATCCTGACGGAACGATCTCGAGAGTCGAAGGCGCCTCAGATACGGAGGGTTCGGAGTACCAGGGTCAATAGAATCGCACATAGAGTTTCTCTCTGTAGATCGTCACGCCGCAAGAGCGCCCACAGATTCGACCGCTCCCGTCCGCGACCACGATGGAAAAAAACAGGATGCGCCTTTCCTGGTGAACCTCGCAGCTCACAGCGCACTGAAGATGGTCAAGATGAAGAACAGCATCTTCCGCAAAGTCTCAAAAACTTCGGAGTAAGTCATACCTTCCGCAGGGCCCGCACATTGTCTTGGGAGATCTAGCTCTAATACAAGGTGCGATTCGTAGCGATCAGGAGCCGTATGCCGAGCGCGTGTACAAAGACGACTACGCGCCGTATGTGAAATCATCCTTCCGCTCCCACTGCTGCGAAAAGTATCCCGATGAGAAGCCTCTTGGACGTCTCGAGAGTTCAAGAAGCATGGCAGAAGTATTTCGTCATGCTGTGCGGATGCATGGGGACAAACCTTGCATGGGCTACAGACCTCTCCTGGAGACATTGGCAGGCGAATTCGAGGGACGACCTATCAACAAATTGAGTCAGGGTGGATACAAGTTCCACTCGTATGAAACTGTCGATCAATTGGTGGACTTCTACGGGCGAGGATTCCGAGAGATCGGAATCAGGCCTCACGACAGAGTGGCCATTCTCGCGGAGACTTGTTTCGAATGGATGTGTATCGCCCTTGCGCTCATGAGATATAACATGCCCATCGTTACTTTGTACGCTACGCTCAGCGAGGAAGGCGTCGTTCACGGTAAGGACGATTCCAGCATGGTGTGCCCGAACACGACTGAAAATGGCTTGATGTGCCATATTGAATAATTTCATCCCGTTCGTGGCATCCAACGAGCGACGGGCGAATCCTTACGAAGCATCCGGCTTGCAGGTCTCACGGAGACGAGGGTATCGACCGTCGTCACTTCTCAAGACCTACTCGAGAGAATGCGGGATCGTTTTGCGAAAATCCTCACTCTGAAGCACATAATCTACTTGGAGAGAGTCGACAAACCCGTTCCTCGATCTGTTCTGGGCAAGGATACCAACGGAACATACAATTAATAATTATATTATCAAAGGAATAATTGAGCTATGGGAGTATCCATCGGAGATCTGACATCGGAATCGAATCAGTCGCTCTCATCGTCGATCTTCCGCGAGCACTCCCTGTCAGCGATTCTGAACAAGCACATTGTCCCCTGCAGGCAAAGAGTTGATGTCATCGACAACGTTGAGGAACCTGGGCGAGCACCCGGAGAACGATTATCGTCCCGAAGACCCGAAACCGCATGACGTCGCAATCCTGATGTATACGAGCGGTTCGACGGGCGTTCCGAAAGCAGTAACGTTGACCCATCTCAATCTACTCTCGGGTGCAAAAGGTCTTGGAGAGGTTTTCGAATCGTTGAAAGTGAGTCTCTACGAATATACTCTTCGCAAGATACGGAAGTCAACTCTCCTCGAGGTCGCCGCTCCATCTCGGACCGTCGAGCTTCTAGAATGGAGAGAAACGGTGCACTCCCATTTTTCTCCATTGCAGGTCCGAACGGACGATGCTTACGTCGCTTACCTGCCTCTGGCTCACGTTTTCGAACTGACTTGCGAAATCATCGCCATCCTGTTCGGGGTCAAGATCGGTTATTCTTCGGCGACAACACTCACTGACAACTCGCCGAGCATCATCCCAGGCCAGCAGGGGGACTGTTCGATTCTACAGCCCACGATCATGCCAGCCGTACCGCTCATGCTCGACCGAGTTAAGAAAGCTGTCATTCGGAAGTGCAGGGAGAAGGGGGCTGTTTCGGCCCGCGTCCTCGAGCTGGCGATTCAGGAAACTCTGAAGCGGCACAAGCGGGGCCAAGACGCTACAATCTACGATAAAGATATATTCGCGCAGATCCGATCCGTTGTCGGGGGAAAGCTGAGGATCATCGCGACCGGCTCGGCGCCGCTCTCGCCTGAAACCCACGCATTCATACGATCCGCTCTCGGTTGCCTTGTTATACAGGGCTACGGCCTAACGGAGTCCTGCGCGGCTGCGACCTGCATGACGCTCGATGATGACGCTACGGGCGAGGTTGGTTGTCCCGTTGTAGGAGCGTACGTCAAGCTCGAGGACTGGCAAGAAGGCGGCTATTTCGTTAAGGACAACAAGGGCGAGATCATTCTTGGCGGAGAGATGATTGCGGCTGGCTACTTCAACAACGAGCGCCTGTCGGCTGAGTGTTTCTTCGAAGAAGGGGGCATACGGTGGTTCCGTACAGGCGACATCGGCGAGGTGACCGATAGGGGTACATTTAAAATCATCGATCGGAAGAAAGATCTCGTCAAACTGCAGCACGGAGAGTACATTTCTCTCGGAAAAGTCGAGAGCGAACTCAAGACGATGAGCATTGTCGAGAACATATGCGCTTATGGTAACAGCCATCAAGACTTCATCGTAGCGCTCGTCCAACCTAACATGGCCATGCTGAGCGATCTAGCCCGCGAAAAACACAGGCCCTGCATCGAAGCAGAGGACATGGTGGATGATCCTGTCCTGACGGACTTCGTGAGAGAGATGATTCAAGATCACGCTAAATCTATCGGTTTCCTGAAGAAAGAAATACCGCTCAGAATTCGCCTGTGTTGCCAAGAATGGACTCCTGAGAGTGGACTCGTCACAGCCGCCATGAAGCTGTGCCGCAAAGAAATCCAAAAAAAATATCAGACTGAGCTTGATCAGCTATACAGGTAGATTTTTAAAATGTTGTACCAGACGACGGCTCGCAAGAGCCGAGCTCCTTATGCAACGACGTTCCTAAGATTCGCGACCTCGGAGCAGTCGATGATCTTTGAGCTCGCTCCAAACTATCACGTGGAAATATTCCTCATTGACTTGACGACTTGTTGGATGAGTCTCTATCGGAAGCAGACGTCAACAATCCTTATTTGACTATGTCAACTTTGAGCATTCTACTTTTTTCCCTTCCCTCTGTTACACTCTGTCGATGTGGGGCTCCGTGTTATCCTCCAGGAGTATTTTGAGAAGCCGTGGAAGGAAACAACAACGCGTGCACGAGGGGAACTGTGATTAGGAAGCTCTTAGTCATTAAATGTAGATCCAGCGGAACTGTCGAGCATAGCTTTACGAAAACTAGACTCAATCTATTATTAAGCTAGGTTATTGACTAGACGCTCTTACTCCAATAAATATCTTAACGACTTCCTGCGAGTTATCTTTCCCGCAACCTCACATTCCTGTAGCTCACGCTCGGGCGATACCCTAGCTTAAGAGTTGAGCAGAATCTCTTCAGAATCCGCCTAAAGGCAAGCCTCCCACTCCTCGGAACAACTTTTGCGGGCGATGGCACAAAGTTCCCGAACCGCGTGTGAGACCCACGCATATGTGTCGTCTCAAGTGTTGATACGGGAGAACCTGCCCCTTCTGGGGTGTCGGAAGAAAGTCGGACGATTAAACAGGCGGAGCCTTCCCGCATTCGCGCTCGGGTATTCCCTGGAACGAGCGGGTAAGCGGGGAGGGGAGGCGTTCGAGCAGGAGTCCTCTGGCACTCCAGCGTATGATGTAAGGCTGCGTGTAAGAATTTGTTCGAGCCCTACTTTTATCGACGGGAAACAGGGGCGGATCCAGTTTTTCCTTTTGGGGAGCCGAGTCAGATTCTTCAAGGGCCAAGGGCCGAAAATGATGACGCGCCTTCTCGTGGCCTACGCTATCACAGTATTAGGACAGGAGATCCTTGGGGGTGGGCATGGCCTGTTGCACCCCCTTCCTGGATCCGGCCCTCTGGGTAAAGAGGCTCGGATGAGAAACACTCAATTCTGCAGTCCAGTGGTCGCCGCCGACCTCGGCGATGTTCACATGCCAGAAGGAAATTGCTGCCACAATAATCAATGTATCCGAGAGCATATATTATACACTAAGATAAATTGCTGTATTTTCGCGAAGATCATGATCCGGGCCATTACGTCGAAGCAAATATATATTCGAATTTATTGTGATAAAAACATCCGTATTTTTCGCAAGCCGTTCTTTCAAAGACCTGAATTTTGACAACTCATTCAAGCAGCTCACACCAAAAACTGTGGTTGTGGTTGGGGATTACTGGATTTGAGTCCAAGGAGGATCCGAGATACATCCTAATGATTGCCCGATGTCTCGAGCGTGGAGCGGACACAAGTGATATTGGCAATCACGGAATCGCGCGCCGAAACAATCGGTTCCCAGAACTTACACTCGACAAGCTTTCTCCCCGATATTGGTAGTTACCTACTCGCTGTACAATCTTCATTCACTGCCTCTAAAGGGCAGCTCGCTGTTGATCGGGATTCGATCGCTTACATCTTAACTCATTGACAGTGCAGAGCGAGTTCGGTGTCGAGACTACGCACCGACTCAGAACAATTGTAACATCTGACGATTCTCACTAAAAAGGTGTGATTCGTTGCATGCCCTAACCAGCGACACCTCGAAAAACGGCGAAAATAGAGCTGGGAGGAATGGATGGCCGAACAAAATAAAGAAGTCCAATCCCCTCGATCATGAGGTGTCAGAAACATAATGCGAAGCGCTATACTTGCGCGAGATGGTCTCGCTCGATTCCCTCCGCGTCACGTGGAATTTCGCGAATTTTTCGGTCGCCAAGGCTCCCGACGACAAAGAAGAAACGGATGAGGCTTGAAAACGATCGCAAGAGAATAAAATAATGTAAATTACGCTGGCAGTCTTCATGCCTTTCGATAGTTCAGGGAGACGTCTCCCTGAGTCTGTCGATCTGCTCATCCTTCCTATGGAAAATCCTAGGTTTATCACAGAATGGCGTACTGCATCAAGCGGGTTTGCAAGCAGTGACTCCTTGGTTCAGAGGAAGAAAAGACCGACGACCGCGAACGCGAAACTGCTGATCATACCTAGTCGCCCTTCCGCGCGATCATGAGCGATACGCTCATGGGTCCATCCCTCGGAAGGGATCGTGCCCTTCACGGATTGTGTGCTGACTGAGGAACCGGTTCTGACCCGTGATACGAAAACCCGGCACCGAGCCTCCATTCAGTAACCTTCGATTGACCGCGGACTAGGATGACGTACGGGATTATTGTGATGGACTTGGTCTGGGTTCTTCTGGTCTTTCGGATGAGTTTCGAGACAACGAGCACAATTCATCCGAATTCTCTGGATCGGTGGATACACCTCGAGATGACTAGGTGAGGACGAGATGAATCGCTTGCACGAACTTCAAGCAAATAGCATCTTCGTCCACGGTCAGGAGCTCATTTGATCCGCGAGAGACTCTCCACGATCAAAAACTTTGTTCTCTTCCCATTCATCCGATAATTCCAGGTTGGAGAAAGTTTCCTCTTTGGCTAACGGAGCATCGTGCAAGAGATGCGGGGAGCCGACAGGAGGCGATTGGATAAATATTTGAGGCGGTCCATCGAAATCGTATATCGTATCGCTGAAGCCCCGCTTCAATGGACCACTGCCTATTTCGAAATGTATGTCTTCATCGTCCAGCCTCTGCTGATTATACTGATATCCAGGATCCACGAATCCGTCGGCATCTCGTCCGTCTGTTTGACCCATGCTTCCCAGAGAACCGAGACCAAGAACGGCTATCATGCTCCCAACGGGTCCTGTAGGGAATTCTCCCTTCGAAGAGCTGGTAGGGGAGTCAACCGGCGTATTGTACGTCTTAGTCGGGGGGGCCACCGTAGGCTAACTGATGGTTGCCTCAGTTATTTGTTAGCTCGAATGAGGGTTGTTCTTCAAAACACCATGCAGAACCTTCGAGGCCTTGCGGGGCTTTCGGTTCCGATACAACAAAAGTTGAGATAATACCGCCAAGTCGATGGTGACCTGTAAAGCACAGAGCGTTATTCACGACGACCTTGAGTCTCGAGACGTACTGTTCGGTGCGTAGAAGTCTGGACTCGATGAAATCTGACCTGGAGTAGACCGCAGAGAACGAACTGAGCTGGTACTTGCTTGATGATGAAATATCCCGTCTTGTATACGTCGCCGAAAAGCCACAACAGCACCATCGAAGTGCTGCAAGCGGAGAATCCGATTAGGATTATTCAAAGAAGCGTTTTCCCCCAGTGAATTGAGGCCGCACGAGAGAAGAATTGTATACCTCATTCCCGCCGTTGACTTGTTTTGAAAGTTCCTATAGAACTGTGGAATGCCGAGCAGTGCTTCGGTGAGAACCGCCACCAATCCTATAATCTCAACGAATATCGGAACATCCTGCAATTTCCATAATTCGCGTTATGCTAGTTACTAGGTATATGGGGGGACCTGACGAGGGGCGATTAAGCTATCTGCGAGAATCGGGAGAGTTTCTCCGGGAACAAACCTTGAAGAGGTATACGATGCCCCCAACGAAAACAGTGAACAATATGGAACATTCGAGATAACTCCTAAAATCTGTCCACTGCCAGAAATGTCGCCATTCCAGATCTGAAAATTATATCTGATTAGAAATCATGTGTCTATGAGAATCATTTCCCCCAAATATCAATGATCCCAGGGACTTCATCGATTAGGACAGGGTCCGGTTTGAAGCAATGGCCGCCTCGGGGAACGGAGCTGATGCAGGCTCTCGACGTTTGCTAGTCCCTGCTACAGCTGAGAAGATCTTACCGTGGAGGGTTTTTTTCCTCGGGACCGGCACCGTGGTTATGAGTTGCACACGCCTCACCCGAATACAAAGCCTCATCATGAGGAACATCGCGGTAGTCATGATAATTGATTGGTACAACAACGGCAGCTCGAAGCGCTTGCAGAGCCTGAAAAAAGTCCGGTTGTGATTATTCTACAAATTGACGTCCGACAGCTCTCGCCAGTATCGTGCGTTATCGCAGGCCCACTGGGCTGGCTAATTCCCCGAGCGCGAGCAGGACAGAAACTCACCAGAACAATATTCGGAGGATATTCGCCACTAAGAGGGCTAAACAAACGAAAGTGGAGAACCCATCCGCATTTTTGGTTCGTAGAATTTCCCGATATCTGGAATAAAAATGGGGCTATGACTTCTGCGAGGCTCCTCCCAAACTCAATCTTCCGGGTAGCTCCCGAGCGATGCTGCAATGCCTCCGGGAGCCGCTATTTTTCTGCGGACCATCGCGCGGAGCGTTCACAAGGTCCCTATGAACATTCGAACTTACTGCGGAATATAAGGAACAACTCCTCCAAACATCATGAATACCGCGGCACCATGTGAAATGACGGTGTTGCCCGCCGACACCGGAGGGAGCCACTCACGGATCACCTTGAATGGAACGAGAAGAGCTATTGTTGAGGTCCAGAGCGCTAAGGAAATGGAAATCATGGATCGGAACGACACTTCCTAAACGGACCCACAATAAGGCGCAGCCCACGAACGCGTTATCAGGTCAGTCCTGCATCTCGAAGGTCGCAGTCAATCGAATCCGATCGAGCGAACTTGTATCTAATGGAGGCAGAATGATCGAATCGATACTAACCTCCATGTCCCCGAAGTGCTCCAGATAGAGGAAGTCCAGTTTGTAGCCTTAGTGGATGTGGCTGGAAGAAAGTTCGGATTCGAGTGAGATAAATAATTCCGAGATGGCGAGCTCCACCGGGTCCACAGTCGGTGATTGGGTTGCCTGTCACGATTGAACCGGACCCGAAGGATCAGGCTCTACTCCGGTAAGGTGCGCTGAGAGCTATTGAAACGGCGACTGCGTCACTTATTGGACAGCTTGGAATCAATTTTCGATCGGAGGAGGGATGACGCAGTGTCGAATTTGCAGAGGATAAATTCACTTTTTGCCGAACACGAAGGGAAGTGCATTTACTGACTCCGAAAAAAAGACGTCCAATTCATGGACTCCTCAGCGACCTTCCAATCCACTCAGCGCCATCGTCACCTTCTAGAGTCTAGAGGCTCGTGAGAAGTGCTTGAGAGGGAAGCGGACGCAGATTACCAATCGAGCATGTCCATATCGTTGCAATGACGGAGAGAGCCGAGAGAGTCGGATACATACCTTATTTCCAAGCTTGTTACCATCGCATATCGGATCGCTGACTACGATCCGACCGCCATCAGCAACAGTGTATGATTGACACGTCTGGCAAGCCCGCAGAGGAAACACCCGAATCTTTCCAGTACAGAGTTCGAAGCTCAACAGCGGCTACTGCTCTCGACAACAACATTGCTTCGTGGAGAGATCACATTGATGACAAATCGACGCTGTTATCGAGTTCCCACTATCTGTTGAGCTATCGACGTTTCTCAGGAATCAGTTCTCCACGCTGGACGGGTAACAGCGGCGGAGAACGAGATATTCGTGCAGGCGATTCGCGGAGATGATGTGTCTTCTCTCACTGTTATTGGGCTGCTCTGCTGTCGACTCGAACGACGGACGACTCTCCTAGTCCTAACAGTCGACGGATAAGCACGGGCGCGGCCATGTTGATTTGGAGAGACTGACGCATTCGATTTCTTGGCGGCAATGCTCGAGCTGATCTTCCGCATTGACGACTCTGCCAATATTTTTCCGTTTGGAGTCTCTCGACACTTTGCACTGGAGGAAGAACAGCCCGCGCAGTCGCAGAGACTTTTTCCCGTACCGGTTTAGCGCTAGATCACGTCGCCGCAAAAGCTGGGTGGAGTCTTCCCTTCCCTAACAACCTCTCGTGATCGATGTGCGGGGGCTTTGCGATACCGAGATATTCGGCCCCTGGTGCATTATAAATCCGCGAGCTTCTCGAGGTATCGGCGATAACCGCAGATGTCGCTCGTGAGCGGTCGACGCGCGCCCGACTACCGGTCCTCTAATCGTCGGTCAGAGTACACTTCGGAGACACTCAGCGCTCAGTCTCGAGCTCCGTGACCTATGTTTGCGCAGCATGCCATTCGCTCCGATTAGGGGTTATGGCATCGATTCGGGAGTGAGTGAGCCTCGGTCTCTCGCGTTCGATTTCTCTGAGCGCTCATCCAGAGAGAGGGGAATAGAGACGCCTAGAGTCACTGAGGAAAGGGGACGTCTATTCCTGATCTTGACGATCCTTCCTGCCGAGTTCCGATGAGTCATCCGATGTGCGATGGTATTCGATAGAGGAATCCCTTTCGAGAACTCGGAATTAGGCGGACTGTCCCGTTGCCGGGGTTTTCTCCAAAATCTGCTCCCGAGCAATGTTGGACACGCGTTAACCCTGGTAGAGGAATGAGACATCGGAGCCCATGCTAGAGTCCTGGCAGCGTCGCTGGATGGAACGTCTGTCTGGCGACGTTGAAATAATTAACGTATTTTGCAGCATGTCTGGATACATGTCCGGTAGGGTCGATCCTGAATAATGACAATGATATAGCTCTCGAAGCGCTCCGAATCTCATCTCGAAAAGTCGACCCTCTAAAAAGTGAGCACCCTCAATTCGGCCGCAGCAGACCGCGTAAGGTTACGCTTCTACTAATTAATAAACCCTCTCACAAGTAAACATTCTTTTTTGAAAATGACAATCGCCTGGTTTGACATGCTTTTCTGAAAGTTTCCGAGCCCCGGAGCAGCCCCGAGTCGTTTTTCCCTGCTGTCCTGCATTTCATACCCCTTTCCTGCAGGCTCCGAAACCCGGAAAAAACACCATTCAAATCGAAATCCGGGATATTTTTCTCGGATTTTGATGGAAATGGTTTTTCCCCAGTTTCCGAAGCCCGGAAAGACCCATTCCCATCGATATCCGAGCAAAATATCCCGGATTTCGATGTAAATGGTGTTTTTTCCAGGTTTCGGAGCCTGCTGGGAAGGGGTATGAAATGCAGGACAGCAGGGAAAAACGACTCGGGGTTGCTCCGGGGCTCGGAAACTTTCAGAAAAGCCTGTCAAACCTCGTGATTGTCATTTTCAAAAAAGAATGTTTACTTGTCAGATTGTGCCCCCTGAGCGGACAGGTCATTCACTGCCCACTCCACGAGTGGGACCATGAGTCTTGAGAGTACAACGAAAGAAGCTCGAGACGAGGGACAAGAGAAGTGGACGAACTTGGGGATGGCTGCTGCGTTCCAAAAAACCGGCCAATAAATCGACGGGAAAAACCTGAGTCGACGATTATGGCGGAGTCCATACGAGAATCAGGCGGGCGATATAGAAGCGAAATTCTATCAATATCGAGATGGAAATCAGCTAGCGACTCATAGTCGTCGGAATTCTCTGCCTTGGCCCTCTTGCGAGTTCAGTCTTGGATTCATGTAGATATTATTCGTGGAATACTAGAGATGGAGCAGATATGGTGCAGTCTACGAAGGCTATCGTCGATGACGTCATTCCCGTTGTTGGGACCGAAACGACCTCATCCGCTGTACTCCCAAAACGCTCCCTTTCCAGGTGTGAACCTATTGCAAAAGAGCCTCAATCCGATACCGGTCGATCTGAAAGCCATCTCGCCGAAGGACTCGGCGTCAGCGGACCCGATGAGGGACTTCAGACATAAGAGACTTTCGGATTCCTCGACCCCGGTACTATCTCCTCCGATGGTGATCATGTTGCTCATGAAGGGCCTCTTTCCAAGAACCACGGAGCCAGAGATCCATCGTGAATCGTGCCGCCTCGTCTTCCCTTCACCGACATCAATGTTTCTTTGTAGTTGGCGTTCCAGAAGTCAGGAATTTAGTGGAACGATATTCAACCTCTTCCGGTGAGGTCGCGCTGAGTTCTCCGTACCGACTCGGGTATTTATCTGAATTTCTCTAGTAAGTAGTTGTTTCAATCATGTGGAAAGAACGACCCGCGAGGGAGCCTCCGTAGGCTCCACTCAGAGTCTCGGGCCCAATCGCTGGGGGTCTCCGGATCAAGGAACAGACTCACGTTCGCTTCGCAAATATATATCATTTATTTTCTATTAAGATTCTTATTTTTCTCTCCATCGTCCATCAACGAATCCTTTTGGTACCACAACTTTCATACCTAATGACTACAGGGAACTCCGCGTTCGGGCTGAATGAGACGGAACAGCAATACGGTATTGAAACAGCAACTTTGATGAGACACGATTAACGCAAGCTGCTCGAGGCCTCGTTCTCGATTATTATTGAAAATCCTACCTGTCATTACTAAGCATTTATCTCCATTGGGTTCTCCGACAAATCTCAACGTATTGAGATCTGTATGTGGGTTTGTCAACGTGGGTTTGTCTAAGACGATGACTTCAATCTCTTTCACAGACTTCTCAGACGAAACATAGATATCACATCCTCAATAGCTGCTCGACAAATAGCAGCAGGTAGTTCTTCCGCTATCACATCGCTAAACGGCGGGGGACGGAACCTTAAAGACAAAAGCTTTCGATTAAATAATCTCAGACGAGGATTGATCAGCTGCATTGGAGTCTAGGACTCAATCAATAATTCCCTATGCCGGAGACTCTAATCCTGAGTGACGCTCGGACCAGTCGCGACGCGCAACGAACCCCCAAAACACTGAGGGATCAATTGCTGTCCAGCAGGAACCCAAAATCTATCTCAAGTGTCCTCCAATGCTCAGATCAATGTGAATTTTCCCGGGAGGTGGTAGCGAGCCAGAGGCGCCTTGCAAGAACTCTTCCAGCTATGTGATCAATCATCATGGTGTTTAATGTCTCTCGATGAAACAAGGAATTCCCCGATGCGTATTGAAGCATTTGAATCTTGAAAATGAGCCCCAGGCTCTCGGACAAGTTTGCCCGCCGCAGAGGTGAATGCCGCCGATTCATACAAACTGATTACTCGCTTGACTCGCGAGTGGTTTCCCGCAAGAAGCTCCGGCAATGGATGAGACTCCAGAATGTCGAAATTATCCGCATCGCCCAACCACCCGTGATATGAAGTCATATTGGATTTGATCGAGAGGAAAGATTGCATTTATGGGCGCAGGGGACTCAGACTCCATCACTGCTCGGCCTCGCAAGCCCCGAACCGATGCGTCATCGAGAATCTACGGTTCTATAGGGGAGAGGTTCACCTCTGCTCGGATACACCCGCCTTGGCTCCGACAGCCGCTCTCCGGAGAAGATATGCCCCGGCGCAACGATATCCGGGTGCCATGTTGACCCGGGCAGTTGAGTCAGCTTTGCGTGCTGTCTGTCTACTGGGGCTCCCGCGGGTCCACTCTGAGCAGACCCAGTCGGGACTCACTTTGAAGGAGCAGCAGTGAGAAAGAGATTCGGACCAGTCTTGTGCGCCGTATCCAGGACGCGGCGCCATAGACTCAATGCTTACGCGCCATGGCGCGGCGCACAGCTCTGGTTCGGACTCGCCCGGATTCTTTGCAGCAGATTATTTTATAATCGATTGAGTAGGGAATTCATTTTACAGAGGCTCGCTCTTGGTGTCTCGCTCGCACCTTGGCATCCGATATTGAATATCATTGCAATCAGATTGTCTGACCGGTTCGCGGTGAATGCCCTCAATGTTTCATAAAAGGGAGCGAATAGGCACGTGCCCCGTCACCATGGGGAAGAGAGCCTGTCGGGCCCCCTCGATGAGGTATCTGAGGGTTGCAACAGAATGCAACCCTCGAAGTGGGAAAGGAACATACATCCATGTACACGAATAATGTCCTCAAGAGCTTTAGGCAGGTGATGCCCGAGGGGCCCATTTCCCGGTCCCGCCGACAATAGCGATGAGCGTGGATGCGTCCATCGCTCGGAGGACATGATATTGTATCCGAGGGGGAAACCCCGTCTGGCGTCGCTCAGAAGATTGCGACCCATCTTCACAACACAGGAACGCGGACGCTGACTAGTTTCTCGAAGTTTCTGGGTTGAGATAAGTTACTCATAATAATCGGATAGGCTTCGAGATCCATTAGAGAATCAGATAACAGTAGTCTGGAGTCCTAGATAAGTTCCGCCTCTCAAAAGTGCAGTAAAGTTCACACGCCAGAATCCACCAGTCTTGTTTCGAAACAACCGGAGTGGATAAGAACCTTCATATAGGTCAGGTGTTATCCTTGTCCCGATACACGACTACGCAGCATCGGAATAGCAGCGAGGGAGAGAGCTTCATTCCGCACTCATCGAGAACAGACGTCGAATTCGGACAGAGCTCATAGGTGGGACGGATGGTCGATTCGTGGCGATGTTCCGGGGAGGAAGGGACGTCAAAGAAACGGCAACAGACCAATGAAGTCAAAAACGGACGGCAGATTTCCCACGCAATACTTTTTCGTGATATCCGAGCGCTCCAGACGCGCTATCGTTTGCAGAAGGCACTGTGTTGCATATGGTTATAGAGACCCACCCATGAAGAGAACGTCAGGTTGCAAATTTCACATTGTATCGTCTGGCAACGAAATGAATGATTTTGGTTATGGCAGTGGAGCACCTCAGGTAAGCTTCCCTAGATTCTCAGATTGTATCTTCGAGCAAACTGACCTTATCCTTGCGTGCCTGGCACGTTCTCTCATGCTGCCTGAGATTCGAGCTATCACCGAAACCGCGACCGCAAGTTTTGCATCTGAATGGCTTCTCCCCTGCAAATTTGAAGCACTGCTTGAGAGCCACGAGTTGACTTCGACTGTTCGAAGAGATCGGAATGCTTTCACGATTACATAATACAGTCGTACGCATGATAGCTATCCGGGAGCTGCCTTCAGTACCTGTATGACTCCGCTCGTGGCGGACAACATTGTGTCTATTCTGCGAGCTGTATGTACAATACGAGCAGAAGAACAATCTCCGTAAGCGCGATGCTAGATCTGTGGAGAGAAAAGAACACGGCCTCAACGAGACGTTTTCCGTATCCTCATGGTAAGGGTGGAGCTTATTTTGAAACTTGTCACAGGCTCAGAAATTGTTCCGGAGGGGTGGAAGTCGGGATCTCGAAGCTTCATAGAGAGGAAAAACCCTTGTGTCGGTGAGAGGCGGAGGGAACGTCGAACGTTTTATTCAATTCCAGAACGGCACCTCACAGATGGCTTCGTACGCGGCTCTCGAGCGGCCTCTACGCATCACGGAATTGTCTATTGAAAAACCTAAAGGAAATCGAACGCAATGGAAATCCAGGCTTTTGGCTGCTCGAGTTCGTAAAATCCGTAATTTTCCCCCTCTCCAATCGGCTCTGTTTCCAGCAGAAATCCCGTCTGGAAGGAGAACTTTCATCAGGAGAACTTCAAGAACTGGTGGCGCATGGAAGTCATAAGCGAGAGATTCCGACATAAAGATGACACGATTCCTTTTCGGAGGTTCAAAACTATCGGCGATAAAATTAGAATAGATCCACAATGAATTCGCGGTGTGAATCGATTGTACGATTTCTCCACTTAAAGTATGTGTCACGGCCAGCAGAGCTGAGTTCGGGATAGCCGAAAGGTCTGTTTCCCTCAAAGTCATATGATCACAGCGATCATATGTGCTTTCCGCGGCTCGCACGAATTCTTTCCTTCTTCGACAAGACTCAGCTGTTTTCGTTAACCATCCTCCTCCAGAGAGCGGAATCATCCGATTGCCTCGAGCGAACCAGAGGGAAACGGGATCGCTCGGAACAATTCACATTCATATGACAAGGACAAGTGAGATTACTCTGTGCAAGAGCAGCACAAAAACTACGAGCACACACGAAATCCTCCTCACCCACGAACAAATGATTGCGCTGATCCTTTTCGAATGCAGCCGCCGAAAAACTTCTGCAGGCTCATCTCGGACATTCTGTCGAGAAAAACGAGTCGGTAGTCTAGAAGCTCCTGGATCTCGGGATGTATCGAGATGCGGGGTGATATCTCAGCAGGAGCTCATCTTCGGAGCGCGGTGCGCCTGCGGTACGAAATGAGGCCCATATCGAACACGGGGACGCAATCCGTTGATTCTCGTCAATTCATTTCGGTCTCCCTGCCCTTCTCGGAGCCCCAGCTGAGATTCAGGTCTTCGCGAATCGCTTAGAGCAAAGCGCGGCGGGTAAATGAGATTTCGCATTGGGTTTCCTCGCATCGGAGGCCGCCCTAAGCTTCTCCCGAGCTTCTATGCTCACATTTATTTTCCCCCGGGCCGAAGGAGACGACGACCGGTACGACGACGACGAGCAGCAGCGAGCACCGCTCGCTCGCAGGCTGCCGTTCTCTATAAACATGGCATCAAACGTGATAGGGAGGCTCGCGCGGCTGAGTCTTTCCTCCGTCAGGACCGACAGAAATGTTTTCAGATACTCGACTACTGCGGTGTCGGAGACTTCCCTCGAGAGCTCGGCGAGCGGTTCGTATACGCGCATGCAGAATATTATATGAATGTGTATTTAGTCCGGGCGCGCACAAGTCTTCTCCGCGCTGGTGTGGAACGATACTCATCTTGGTCCCCCGTTCCCCACAGAACCGGTGAGCGTACCTCCCGAGGACGCTTCCGTTTTCGGAGACGTGGACTCGTGTACCCTATTGTACCAGGATGCGTTAGAATCTTGGGTGGAGACGTTGAAGGTGAAAGAGATCGCCTCAAAAGTCGGAACTACGTACCTTCATCCTGACGTGAGTCTCGAGACCAGCATGGAGTCCGATAAAAAACCTCATTTAGAGGGATCCGGTATCGAGCGGGCTGATCGATGATCGACATTCGTCAAAATTCTATGATTCCTCTGATACCCTGCAGGTTTTCGGTGCCTTTCCGAGGACGGATTTATTGCACTGGAATTGTTACTGGCAGAAAATGTATCGACGCATTGATTGGGGCTCTGCGAAATGCACTTTTGAAATGAAAGGTAATTCGGAGACATCTTAACCCGGCATCTTAATGCGGGGGAATCATCCCAAGAGTCGGCGGTAACTTCTTGCCGTCTTTCAGGCGGAGGTCGTAAGCCCTGGCCGCAGAAAGGTATGGGCAAAGCGCGTCACGGCTCGATACGATCACCCCTGTGGCACAAGGGTGGCAAAGCCTTAGGCCCGCGAGGTCCGACGTCGTACTACTTCATGCTACCCTACACGAAACGAGTCCACGGACTGCAGGCGGCTCTCTCATGCAAATTCGCCCAGAATGATCTCCGTATCGTCGACAGCCTCGACTCTCTACCGACAGACGATCCGAAGTAAGTTCGTTCTGGGGGAAGGGGGGGGGGAGCAGCTCTCCGAGTAGAGAGATTATAGAGAGTATACCATCGCCGACCTCGAAACTAACAATAAAATAAATCCTTCCTCCCCGAAGGTTCCTCGAGGATCTCTGCGAGCAGCGGTATTGGGGGCCTTCGGTACTCTTCGTGCATGAAGACGAGCTAGCACCGCGGAATCTGACAATGGCCTGCGACTCCGTCGGCCACCTGAACATAATGCCGGTTTTCGGACTCAATGTCTATTCTATGTTGAAGCACGAGACCGTGGTGCTATCGTTGAAATCTTGCGAGATGATACAGGTGAGTATCGAGGATGACGAAACGCCTACCTAGTGCTCCCATCCGATATTACATCCTCGCATATCTTTTCAGGAACGAATCATATACGCTCTGAGGAGGTCTGATGCCCATCTAGTAGACTCCAAGTACAAAGTCAGACCCATTATCGAACGGACAGAGCAGCCACGCCCTCTCTGAAAGCGGCTCTTGTCGCCGAATAGACCGCTCGAGAGGGAGGAAGTCCTCCCGCGACCATGAAGTTCGCGAAGCGTACGATGATGTCGTCACGCGTGATAGCTTACAATAAAATCCAGCTCTGCGGAAACTTCTCCTCCATTTCTCTTTAGATTCGGGGGAACTTATTAGGGGAGACGGAATGCTCGCGGAGTCCCCTTAATGAGGTGGAATTGCCGTGTGAGAATATCGAAGAAGAAAAGCCCTCGTCTTTGAATTTTCACGACGACTTTTATTGACAGGCGGAAACGCGTGTGCATCGGTTCGTTCCTTCGAGGGAATCGGGGTCTCTTCATTACAGAAATCTTCCTCATATGCCGACATATCGTCCAGGCTATGCTCGTGTGACGCTGCTGCGGCCTTCCACAAATCACCAAGTCTTCCAGTGAATTACTCGTTATAAACCGAATACAGCCAGGATGATCTCCTCGCCGCTCGGTTCCAGGGATCGATCCAATCTTCTCGCGAAGCGACTGCATTCAAATCATCATGGATGGCGATAAGAAACGGAGAAAATATCGAGACTATCTACACTGGCACTCATAGGCCGCGAAAGACTCAGTCTGCGGGAATTCCTCGAGTCCTCATTCAACTTCTGCACTTTTGAACAACTTTTCATAAATAATCGCGTTTCTATACTCCGAGGAGCCTAATCAACGGTCTCCACCGACGAATTTGATGCGGAGTTTTCGAGTTAGGATCACATGCGGGCGCTTGCTCCGGAACTTAGAAAAAATTTGGTCAACACAGTGCTCCCTCAACCACCATCTATAAGCGATACAGTCGAAAATTATCAAATCATTATCTCTAGCGCTGAATTTCGTTGAATCTATCGAGGGCCTTGTTACATGAATCGGAACTGGTATCCTTCCGATGGTCCCATTCCGGCACTTTGGAAGCTATTACCGAAGAACATCTGGAAAGGTCGAAAAGAGATTATTTTAATGTGAGCTACGACGAAGCTTCGAATCGGAGAATGTAGTTTCGATGCTTTAGAGCTAACCTGGTAGGCATTGAAGTCTTGATGGAAGCCTCCAGCATCGTCCTGTTCATCCAACTCGACACCATTGTCGTAACGTCCTTTCTTCTTTGGATCAGATAGTATTCCATAGGCCTCACTCAGCTCCTTGAAAAGTTTCTCCTGGTCTTGCTTCTGTTTATCCGATGCACTAGCATGTCGATCTGCGACAGAGCGTAAATGATTAGGGATCTCATCAGAAGCTCATACCGAGAAATGGCGACAATCTGTCGATAGTGTGGAATTCTAGCGATCAGATCATACCTGGATGATGTTCGAGCGCTTTCCTCCTGTAGGCTTTCCGAATTTCATCGCTCGATGCAGATTTCGGAACGCCCAGAATTTTGTAGTAATCCTTACGCTTCGAAAGCTTGAGCTCCCTCTGAGAATAGGCGAGTGTGAAATAGGAGCACATGATTGAAAGATTGGAATGACTCTTCGATTATCGGGGGAAAACAGGTATAGGCCTCACCTTGGCTTGTTCTAGTAGTCTCTTATTCTCTCTGGATTTGTCCTGCTGGTAGACGTGCTCATAATCTCGGACTGCCTCTTCATACATTTCTAGATCCAGGTGGCTGTAAATTGGCCCTGCTTAGAAATACTTTCGAGGGGGAAGAATCCTCGACACTGGAAGAAGGCTCGAGTATTCGAGTGGACCGAGGATCAGGATATTGAGATCTCAAGCTCGGAGCTCTACGCACCATTTGGCTCTTCGAAGGTAAGCCTTGTGGTATTTCGGGTCGAGGTTGATGGCCTTCGTGAAGTCCTCGAGGGCTTCATTGAGACGATTCATTTTCACACAGCATTGAGCGCGGTTCGCGTGCAGCTGAAAATTCTCGAGAGATTAGCAACCCTATCTCGAAGTATTTCCGGAGATGTAGAGATATTCCTTGAGAAGGAACGTCTACTATAGAGAGAACGGCCACATAGCGTGTCAGGAGTCGTGTTCTGCTGTCCGGGAAGTCGGATGTTTATAAGAGAATCAGCACTCCGGGGTAGACCGCAAGGCGTTGCACTTGATCGAAGCACCGATTGGAGCGAACAAAGAAAGCAAACAGAATCCCGTGCAGGTGATGTGGCCGAGACAGGTGATACCTCCCACCGGTACGGTGACCGCGATTTCCCCGGGAGGGGCCCCGAGCGCTCCTTCTTTCGTGCGTGGCTGCACAGATTTGAGGCAACAATACACGGAAAAGTAATCAACAGACCACACTTATTTGAAGAGAGAGATGTTTCTGATTTGCTCGGGAACCTACGGGTCTCGTCTTTCTCTCCTCCACAACTGCCGTTAATGATATTCAATTTTCGTCGACTCGAGTACCCAATGAAGGATCCCGAGGATATTCGCTCGATTCCTACCTTCGCATTGATGGCCTGGTTCAGAGGATCGATCGCGAGAGCTGTTGTGTAGATGGCATGCGCCGCTTGGAAATCCCCTCTCGTGAAGCTCGAATTCCCCTGTTCCTTCTGAGTGCGCAGGTTTTTCGCCATTTTGAAGACTTTCAGAGCCTTAGAATGATCTGGTGCTAAATGCAAGACCTTGAGGAAATGCTGGAACGCTTTATCCACGTTATCCTCGTAGTACAGAGCGAGACCACGAACGAAGTAGGCATCAGGGTTCGAAGATTCAAAACGGATGATGTCAGAAGAGACGTCCCTTGCTTCATCCAATCTATAAGACGGAGCATGTCGTCGGTCAGAGCGTGTCGGAGTTTTGACAAATGAATTCCATGGCAGAATCAAGACGAGGAACAAGGCTCACCGATTCAAGTAGACGAGACACTCCGCTCTGAGTAATTTGAATTTCACGCCATCGGGACTCTGTCTGAGAGCCCTCTCCATGCAGTAGACGCATTTGCGGAAATCTCCCTTGCTGTAGGCCTAGAACGAGGGGTGAAGGATAGTTGGAGGACTGCGTCGTCTTCGAACACGGTAACACGGTGATCGAATCGTCTAGATTGGGGCTGACCTTATCGCCTTCGGCAATGAAGTGCTGCAGCTGTTCAGCTTGTCGAACTTCTTTGGGCAGGTCCTGATGCTGCGGCTCGATTGCTTTTGCCTTCCCTAAGGATCTCAACGCAGCTGGCGCATCACCCAGACTTATGTGACATTTAGCTTCCCTGAATAAGGCTTTTACATTTGATGGATCCCGGCGGATAGCCTCCTGAAATTTTCAGCAATCCGGAATGAGTCCTGTCGTCTGTGTGTGCATGGACTATTCCCGAGCGGGAGATGATCCGCGTGGGTAGGCTTCGTCATATTCAGAGATGCTATACGGTAGAGCCGGAGAACGAGTGGCACGAACCTGACAATCGACGAGGGCTTTGGCCGGCTCGTGGAGCATCATGTAGCAGGCAGCTCTGTGGCGAAGCACAATCCGTTAAAGAACTGAATTTACGTAAAATAAGATCAACAGGGATAGGGAGGACATCATACGCACCGGTTCAAGTATAACAGCGAATTATCCGGGTTCAAAGCTATCGCCTCGGAGTACAGCGGAAGAGCCTCGCGGTAGTTGCCGCTTTTATACAACGCATTTCCGTCGTTTTTCTTCATCTCGGACAGCCTTAAATTCATAGGTTCTCAGTTAAGACTGATCTAATCCACGTTGCCGTATCTAGGGGCTTTTTGCCACGCTTCGCTTGAGAGACGGACTCCAAGTTCTGATACCGTATCCCGATTCCAATAATGCATCGTGTACACTATGAGCCCGCGAGAGAAGTTCGCCGACAGCTCCCAAATCGCCTCATGGGGAACTGGAGCTGGATTCTAAAATGATATGGTAGACAGCATTCCACGAATGAGAAGAGCCCTCAGAGAATCTGCTCCGCGAGAGTAATGTCGGAAACTGACTTAGAAACAGCGGAGCTAGAGAACAAATAAAGCCCCAACTCTCATTGACGCAATACAGCTTCGGCATCGGATATCATCAAGGAAAGTGAGAGACGATGTTGCGGTAGATTTCCTGCGTCCATGGAGCATTTCGATGCAAAAAATCGCCCGCACAGCCTTGAGTGCAGGGAAGCGCGTTGTGAGCTGCCTATTCTCACGTATAACGCGGGAAACCCTCCACTAAGGACGTATTCGTATAAAATGATTTTGGGCTACTAGCTCCGTGAGTAAGATAAAGGCTATCTTCGTCCGGGCAATCGAAATAGATCGCGAATGCGCACGGCTCTCTTGCCCGCACTTATCGAATGTCCCAGAGGGCCCGGGACGCGTGGTGGTCTCGAAATTCTGCAGACAGAACTCACTTGTCCTTAGTATTCTCGCTGAGAATCTCTTTAATGACTTCTGGTTCATCATCTGTCTCCATTTTCTCACAGTCGATGATTGTTGGCTCTTCACTCATCTCGACCTCGGGCTCAAGGGGTTGGACCAACAAATAAATTCCGAGGGTGAACGATTCGACAGACAACGAGTTCAAGGGAATCCTTTCCGACTATGAGCAGCGAGTGTCAGCCTGCGATTCACAGCTCCAAAACCAATCACTCAATGGAGCAGCAAGACTTGTTCATGGAGGCAGAGACGATGGTATAGCTCGCTGCTGCTGCTGGGAGGCCTAACGTGATGAAACGGAAGTTTACATCGTACGGCTCCGGCATAAAGTCGAAAACCTTCGAACTCGCATTCGAGTTGCTCGAATCGCGGGAAGGGGACTGGATGGAAACTGAAGTTCGAAAGTAGTTCTCTAGTCGAATGCTGACAGGAGACTGACGTTTTATGCGCTCAATCAGACAAACAACATTGTTTCGAGTTTCGCAGGTCGGATTAATTTCGAATTTCTCGCTCTCTGTCCTGGCTTCCCCAACAGCTGATTCGGCGGTTCGAATTGTGTACCACAAGCGAGAGCGTTTCGGGTTTGCAAGCTGCTCGATTCGAATAAACCCAATTCTTCTAAGGACAGTAACTCACGGGAATTTCTCGCTCTTGCCCCAGGACGAGAGCCTGTCCAACCCTTGTTCGTGTCTTTGTACACCGAATTGCGCGCTCTCCTGCGAAGAGAAAGCGTTCCTTTGCTCGGGTCCGCGCTCACCCTGGGAGCACGGGTCTTTGGATCTAGATGAGTTCCCATCATCGTGATGACTTTCTGGCTCATCACGCGCACCGCCATCTAATGAGAGAAAACTCTCGACTATCGCCTCGAATTTGAGGGGGACGCGTAATGATTAGCATCGTGTGGGGCTCGACTCCCTCGGAGTAGGAGCATTTATTGGGATTTATTGGGTAGAATTCAGTAATGACTTGTCGAGAGAGAGAAAGGCTTGAAGCACGATGGGTCTCCCTTAGGAAAGTCGGATGCGAATCATGAGACATGGCATCCCAATCAGACCGTCAGGGATAACTTCGCATGACGCTTCAACCATCCTACAGAGAGCTTCGTATAGCACTTCCCGAAGTTTTCGCCGACAGAATAGTCTCTCCGTCGGCTTCAGGCTCATGTACATTTATGGAGAATATTTCTTGAAAGATTGATTATTATAACCAATGTTTCGGAGAGATAATTATCGCTTCGACTATATTCGTTATCATCATCATCGGTCTCCTGGTTTTCCTTCTGTGCGCTGGATTGTTCTCCGATTCTACCGTGTCTTGAGTGAGGCACACTGGGCAGCGTTCACGGTCAGAAAAGTCGGGATCAAGTCAATAAAGAAGTTCCGATCTCCAAAAGTCGTGATGAACATTCCACCCAGACCTCCGAGCTTAGCGGAGTTCTATCAGAGCAGAAATTCCCGACGATTGCAGCTCGCTCTCGGCACGAGCGGCTGGTGGTCCCCGCCGAGCGGCTGTGGTACGTTCCTGTGAAGCTGACGAATGCTGTCGACAGAGAGACATTGTAGTTCGAACCGACGACTGAGAGATTGGCAGCCACCACGCGAAATAAAACGTACCACGCTTAGAAAAGGGGAACGGGAGCAAAACATTTTAAGAGCAGAGGAAGAAGAAGAAGAAGATGGCGACGAAGTCGACTGAACCGAGTGTGGGGTCCACTTCGTGCTGAGGTCAGAGGGTGTTGTGTAGATCTCAAAGCGGATAATTCTGGGGGAAACCCTCTCCAAGTGAAACCGATTAGAATCGGGAAACGTGATGCCGTCTCTGACGAGAGAAGCCCACGGTAAGCGATCTCTCCCTTCCTCCTCCTCCGAGAGTACTATAGCTGTCAGTAGATCTGTATTGGAATTCCTACCGAAGACGGGGGAGCGCTAGAGAGACTCCAATCATTGACGGTCGCGAGCCGTAGGAAATGCAACCCGGAAGCATATGGATCTCATGAAGTAACGAAGCCGCCTCAATGTCCATTCCTCACGACTCATACTTCCCCGATTTTGGAATTCCAAATGACTTCAGCTTCCCTGTATTCTCTGAACTCCCCATTATCGGTACCGGTAATTGATGCTCGGCTGGTGGTACAAGTTTCGGTGGCGGTCAGTGCCTCTGGGTGAACGGCGCTCTGCGACGACAGTTGCCACAACGTGTGCGTGAGGGAAGAACTCTCGCATCGAATCGAAGTCCTGTTCAGCTTCTCCTCTAAAGTCTTGGCGGTAAATAATCGGGAATATTCTTCCGGTTTCAGTCTGAAAGTCTTCGATCCTGACTGTCGCGGGCTCCACTCCATGGACGACCGGGTTCCGATCAATGGTTTGCCTCCGGGTTATCCACCCGGATTAGTACCAATAAGATCTCCTTTCGGGGAAAGTCCATATGGGTCTGCCGCGCTGCATGCAGCGCACTCGGCCCAGAACACATCTCCATATGGCGTTCTTCCCCCCTCCTCTACTGGGCAGGTAAGCGAACTGGACATCCACCTGAGTGGAAGCGTGCTTATATTCCCCCGGGGAGCGGCAGCCTCGAGTTGCCGAGGAATTCGAGGCCGTTCGAGGGCTACTAGAGAGATCTCTTTGCATTCTGATGCTATAATTTCTGCACTTCTCTCGGATGAGGCTCAGACGGACGCTCGGTTTCAGCCAATGTATGTCCCGCCCATGTTGGCGCAAACTTCACTGTCAATACCACCTCTATCCGCGAAAATCGATTATTCACCGGCTGCTTCTGGGTTGATAACGGGTGAGTTCCCAGTCAGCGAGATCCCTTGTTTCACAGAACTGATCGAGGAACAATAACTCCCGAAGAATCACAGCGAAATGCTTTATATACGAAATTATCACATTACAGGCCCGTACGCCGGAGTGCCTTCCCTACATTCGCAGTATGCAGTTCAACCTCCTTTCGGAGGGGCACCAGTTCTTTATCATCCTTCACCGACAGCGCCCATGGCGGGGTAGGTTGATCTCCTTATGATGAACTCAATTATTTTTCAGATGTGCACAAGCCGTTGTCCTTCCCCAGGCGCCGCTTTAGGACACAGCATGGTTATAATGGACTTCCACGAACTTTCAGATATCTATCATCTTCGTTCGCCACTCAACAGGCGCTACTGAATGCACAGGTTGCCTCTTCGATACTCCCGCCCTACTATGCCACACCATCGCCGTCTCCTTTATATTCTCCTTCGCCCTCGCTGGACGGTAATACAGAAGGACTCCATGCAAAACTATTACATCAGCAATCAATGTACAAAGCAGCACCCTTAGGGTTCCTCGGGCCCCTACCAGGTGAGAAATATGTCCTAGGAGGCCCTTATCCACGTGAGACACCATAGCGTTCGGCTTGTGGCTCTTGAGTACTTTGTGTTGAATTCCATGGAGTCCCGAAACCTATGCTAGTATCGACAGAAACAACAGGGGAGAAAGCGTCGGGCCCCGATCGAGAGGAATACCTACTTCCGCTCCAAGCTATGTGCCTTCGCTGAATGATGAATTCCTTCCCAGGCACCACAATGATGGGGGGTAGTTTCCAGTCGGTGACTCCTGCTACTCCGGAAGTGACTCCGAGCCCGGCACCGCCGACTCCGACGCTTCAGAAGGTACGTATTGATCCTGCGAACGGTGTCGGAGATCTTCGAGTCAGCCGGAAACTCGAGGGGCGAGAAACTAATATCAAGTATCACCGATACAGCCCACCCCCACAAAAGCGATGCCTGGCAACAACCCGTTTGGGGTTGACTACATCTTCGCCAACTCGATATCACCTCTGAGTCAGGTGCCGGTGAAACGAGAATTGGTGAGCTCCCTTATGCCCCGGATCGCGAGCGACGCGAGGATATCAAACAGGCCGCGGAATTCTATATCGTTATACGAATGCAATTTATCGAATCCGCAGATGAGCCCGGTGATCAAGCGAGAAGGTCCTTCGCCCTCCTCAGCGCATACTTCGAGTTCACATGGATCGATCATTCAGCCTACACCAGTTATCGTCAAGTCCAAGCACGAAATGCCCGCGAAACCCAAGGCAAGCGATCCCTCCGATCAAGAGTATAGTTTTGAAAGCCGTCTGACAATGTCCCCGGACGGCTTTGTAAATGCTTCATTGTCGACACTTGGCTAGCTCCGATTCAATCGCTTACCGCCTGTATGCCTCCCGACAGGCAATCCTAGCCAAACCCCAGCCCGTCATGGCGACTGCCCTGGGTTACCCATTCAGACCCTTGAAGATGGAGCATCCGCATCCCTTCAGTTATCATCCCTATGCAAGCGCGGCTCCCTTCACCTCGATAACTCCCTCATCGATTCAATCATCGCAACGCCATAGTCACTCGATGCCTTTGAGGTTAGTCCCGTATAATGGAGTTCTAGCTGCGACTAGCCCCCGAGTTCGCCAACGCAGCTCGCTCAACTATTTCTCGCGATCGAGCCTGATCTTACGTCTCAAGGTTATAATCATACACCGAATACATATATAGATGATCATTGTCCACGCCGCCAACACGTATGGGGAGGCCTCAATCTAGAAGCCTGGTTCATGCCGATGACCTCATCTGATCGAGGAAGTCCTAAATTCCTATGACCCTTCTCTTCCAGACTACCGGATCCGACTCCTGGATCTTTCGAGAGTCATCTCAGTTCTCTATCCAAGGTCATCACGGCGACGTTCGGTCAGGCCGAGCAGATGAGTATAAATCATCAGAAACTGGCACAGATTAGTCAGCAGAGGTAAGAGTTCCTCTGCCTTCGTGTTTGTCAGGGGAGTGGATCGTACCTCATGTCCTTCATTCAAATCAACTCCGGAATGACAATTTCCAGTGTGATGGCCGCAGTCGCGCAACAGCATAAGGAAATGGAGCGCCGTAAGGAGCTCATCAGAGAAAAAGAGAGAAGGGTGAGTCGGTCGCTCAGTCGGTACTAGATCTTTCGATCCGTCCCTGACCTCCGATGGGGCTCATTCAAGAAACAGATTCTAAGTCCAAAGACCTTCCCCTCTCTGCAGGAGCAACGGAATAAGGAGCAACGGGAAGTCATTGTAATCAAGGAAGAGAGTCAAGACAGCTTTCAGAAATTGGATCTCTTCAGAACGACATCGTCTGCCTCGAGTTCGAGCACTTTAGTGGCGACAGATCAAGGCAGAGCGAGTGTACCTTCAAGTCTGGTGGACAAGGTGTGCACACGAATTCGAAAAGAGATTTGATACCGCGAGTCGAGACGGAAGATCACCAACTACCCCTCACGGAGGGATCGTGATGCCAGAAACAGTATCTAATAGCCAAATTCGAATCTGCCAGGGGGACAACAGCAAGCCTTCGTCGCCTTCGCGGATCGCCACACCGGGTCCTCTCGACTCGAGTCAGTGCCGGAAGAGAAAAAAGCCTTCGATACTCCAGATCCGAGAGAAGGACGCAACAGGGATGGTAGGATACCTGGCTTGGAATCCCCGCTTATCCGCTCGTCGTTCCTGAGGGTCCTGGTGGAGTTTCCTCGTTCTGACGTCGTTAATGATTTTCAGGGCAACAAAGAGTCAAAGAAGGACGTCTACTCTTTTGAAAGCGAGGGCGATGAGACCGGTGGCACCAAGAGCGGCGCCGTCTTGCCGTCGTTCAAAAGCAAAGCGTTCGCCTCAGCGGCCCACAGGAAGCGAACGGTAGTCGCCGATGAGGTGGCGCAAGCGAAGTTCCCCTCGGTGATTATCCTTTTAGTCGTTATCTTCGCTAGAGCGAGAGTTCCTAATAGTGACATATGGTTCGAGAAAGAATCCAAGGAGAACCCGGAAGGATTTCTCCTCACGAGGAGTCTCTTTGCGGCGAGGGACTCGAGCTGATCAATTCATTGTTACGTCATTCGAACTTTCATGACTCAAATTCTCGTATCGCATAGATCACGGAATCCTGCGCCCGAGCAACGGTATATACGCGTAAGGGAGCGTACGACATGTTCGATTTCCTAGCATCGCGACATAGAAAACCGCCGAGGGATGAAGATTCCGATGAAGACTCTTCCGATGAAGAGGGAGGGGAAGAGGTAAGTTCACCTTCCTTGAGGATCGACACGGCCGATCAGCCCGTATAGACCATTTTCGTCCTTCTGTAGATCTATTGATCCTCCATGCCTCTCACTCCAGCTCACTGCTCTCTCCCTCTAGGTTTCGCAGCGCCAGAGGAGAATTGACAAGGATCTTCATATGGTCATGCAATTTTACTCCCTCAAAGACACTGCCCGCCAAACCGTGGGCGTCTTCAGGTTCGTCACTAGGGAACATCTGGATGTTTCGATATCTCCGATGAGAAGGAGATGATCGTATATATGTTCGAGGCGTAGGGAATGGAGCCCTGATCGCCCTTCTCGTCACGCCTGGGAAGGGCGACGTACACCGCTGGCTGCAGAGCGAGACCGCCTTAGGAGGAATTCTCTCGTCGAATGCTTTTAAGAATGTCTAATACGGATGCTTTGTCGCAGATCGAAAATACATCGCCGAGGTGTATTTGCCAAGAGAGCTATTGATGCCGGGGAAATGGTCATCGAATACTCCGGCGAATTGATCCGAGCTGTCTTGACGGATAAGCGAGAGCAATTGTACAAGGTTCGAGCAGCTCATTTTACCTCTCAGATTCCTTCTATTGGCACAAGCGAATGGTTATACATAGTCGCTACAATTATGATCGGTCGGGGGCACGGTAGCGCCGAATTAAAACGCGATAAATTCCAGGCCCGAGGAATCGACTGCTACATGTTCAAGATTGACGAAGACGAGGTGGTCGATGCGACCATGCACGGAAACGCGGCCCGCTTCATCAACCACTCCTGTGATCCAAATTGCTATTCTAAGGTGAGATTCGGGAAATTCCCTTTAATCGAGGCTGCCGAGACGTTGCGGAAACTATGCGACTCGCCGTTCACGATCTGACAAGCAACGATTCTTTCCGCAGTGTATCGAAATATTTGGGAAGAAGCACATAGTCATCTACTCTCAAAAACGAATCAAGGTCGGCGAGGAGTTGACATACGATTACAAGTTCCCGAAAGAAGACGTCAAAGTTCCGTGTACCTGCGGCGCCAGAAAATGTCGCAGGTACCTAAACTAGACAACGCAACTGAGTGACTGGTCGTCCACAAGACGATGTTTCAATTCCCAAAAGTCGCGATGAACACATTTCTCGATCGCAAGATAGAGTCGAACAAGTTTCGTCTGGTGAGATGTCATTGCTGGTGAGCTCGGAGCCAGGATTCGAAAGAGCGGTATATGCCTTGTTAAGCCGTCTCTGCCTGGGATCCTGCGGCTCCCGATTCTCGGATCATCGAACCTCAAACTCAGCCGATTCTCAGACGGACGCAGATACATTTTCAGTGTTCGGAGCTGTTTGAGAAGTATATGCACCATTCAAAGATATCGGTTGTTCTCCGTCTCAGCGCAGAGGGCTTCGACAGCTGAGAATCACGACGCTTCAGTGTTCCTAAGCACCTTCTTGACCGCTCGGAAGTTAACTGCCTCTTACATAGGTCCCAATAGGTTCCTTGAGTTAGTGTTTCGCATGTATCTTTCATCAATACCGAAACCGTCTCCCGGGACGATTCGCTGGGGAGTCCCAGCGCCTCGCTGGCGCGGGGCGCAACTGGATATTGCGTTCGAACGATTCGCTCCAAATGACCCTCCCGCTCCGAATCCATGAATTGAGCATCGAAGAACTACGGTTGAGATAATCGTTCGTTCATCGATAGATTACAGAGCGAGGGCGAATCACGAACCGAATCTTCACAATTTATCAATAGAACCGCCGTTCCTTATTCTATGTTATCCGTCACCGCTGACTTGTGGCACAACAGCGTGAGAAATCTCTCTTTTCCTCTTTTGTGTGATATTGTCGTGCCCACCAGATGAGACGTGCGTTCCCCCGTTCCCAATTAACTCTCATTTTCCTTTTTATGTATAATGACGAACTTCCCCGATGGGTTTCAATCTACGAAAGTATCCGCGGAGTTCTGTACCCTCAGACTGAATGAACTTCCCAAATATCTTGTATAGGGTAGACTTCGGAAGGTTCGGAAATAATCTCAATTCTCGTAAGAAATCTCACTCTGATGACAAGGATTGGTAGGATGTCAGAGACGGGTTGTCAACTTCAGTCCAAATATTTTGAAGCTTGCCGATGTTGACTAGAACATTATCCGTGAGCAGATCTGTACATACGAGATTCTAACTTAATGAAAGAAGAATGAGACCGGGGAAGAACGGAGTATGAGACCGACATACATACATATGTACAAGCGATGGTTCCCCAATCTGTATCAGGAATCGCGATATTTTCGTCATAAGCGAAATTCCGGGAGCATGAGCTTGTGCGACTGCCATTCGTAGGACCCAGTGTTTTATGCCGTGTTGTTCCTGCGACTCCGAATGATAAAATATAGAAGTATACATATAGATTCATGTATAAATTTAGGCTGAAAAGAGATGGTGACCCAGATTCTGCTTGCAAAAATCAGTCGGCGTTGCGAAGTTGACGGCACTCGATGTGAATATAATGCTTCAAGTTGAGGACGAATCTGTGAGAGAATAAATGACCCGATTCACACAAGTATGCGAATGTCAACCGCGTGCTCTCTGCTCCAAACGCGCGTATACGGTTTATTCGCCGAACTCAGAAATAACGCTAAATTGAATGGACGCCCCCAGCCCAGGTATCGATCCTCGCCATTCAAGTGCGGATCTCGGAGTTTGAGGACAGCTGGCGAGGAGGGCATTGAGCTATCCGCGGATGATGCCTACGCCAGTGCCGGAAACCCTAATCCCCGCAATCCAAGCTCCACAATTGAGTCAACAGAATTTATTAGGCCATAAGTAGAATACAAGTCTGCTTTTCTCACTGTTTCCGTTTAATCTCATTACTAAAAAAGTTCGAATTTTCTCCCGTTTTCATCCATCCAACAAAATAGTCAGAGCTGCTGCGCATCGCAGCCACCTCATTGTCGACGAATACGTTCGATTGTTCTCGATTACTAGATCTGGAATGGTAAACTACCTACTTTCTTTGATCTCACGGAGCTCCCGATCGAAACTTCCCACTAGACAGGCTGCTAGCTAGCTGACGCGATCGAGATCACTTTTTCTTTCTATAGTCCCAGCTCTTTTTCTTTCTCATAACGCCGCAAGCGCGCCGTGAATTTTCCTTGATCAGTCATTCAGTATGATTTCCGAGCAAAACCGTCAACAAGATATATCCCGAGGGATTTTTTTACATGAAGTTTTTAATGTAAACCTTCTCCACATTCTCTCGGTTTGGTTTTCGCAGAGTGAATTCGTTTCGTTCCACTCATTCCACCATCTAACTAAGCGCGCATCCATCCATCTATCCATTCGTTCACTCGGCTGCGCCCACTCATGCATCGCTTACTTAATACTCATTTATTCACATCTTTCAGCTGTTTCTGAGCGCTCGAGTGATCGACCCATTACCATCATCACCGCAGTATCATTGAAATTTCCTACTTTTTGGCGTCGATTCCTCGTAGAATTCATCTTTTCGCTTGCGCTTCTCTTTGCGATCGCCATCGAATTTATCTTTAGGAATCTTAATCTTGAGGTTATTGTCGCCTCCTCCCGCTGCACTACTTCCTGTGACGGAGCCGTTGTTTCCCGCGTTGGAATCACTGCTACTCCCGGCTACTTGTCTCGGCGGAGGAATCACTTTGATTTTCAACTTGACACCATCCATTTGTATGGGCTGGAATACTGTGGATGGCGCGACTGGCGATGATGAACGAGACCTCGACCGGGATCTATCTCTGCTTTTGTCCTTCTTCTTTTTCTTCTTCTTGTCGTCTTTGTGGCGTTTGTCTTTCTTCTCTTTCTTGTCCTTCTTCCCCTTTTTCTTCTGCAAAGGAGAGTAGATGATTTTATTTTTAATCGCTCTCCTTCTAGGATCTCTGAGCTCCGAATTCGTTGAACAGCTTACCTTATGCTTCTTCCCACCGTCCAGCTCCTGCTGCTCAGCTCCCAAGAAACTTCTGCTATCGGTTTGAGAGTCGTTGATCTCAGGCTGGACTGGATGCGAAGTTTGCGGTACCTGTTGCATGATGGTCGGAGGAGCGACGTTCGTCAGGGGAAGGTCTTGACCAGGGGCAGCTTGTCGAGATAACGTAGGATGATCATTCGGAAGCGCCGTCGCCAAAACGGTATTAGCATTCAAGCCTTCGGTGGCCGGGACTGCCGAAAGGTTCGGCCTCGACACGGCATCCAAAAGAGGCTTCGGAGCATCGGGAGGGCCGCGAGTGATAGAGGAATTCATCGAACTTTCGCATTGTGAGGAGAGCTGCGATTGTTGATGCGACTGCTGGAGAAGTTGTTGTTGTGGTTGCTGGTTGTGCGTCGGCAACTGAAGCTGCTGATGAGCGCTCATCAGGCTACTCGGCTCTGGAAGCTCTTGCTTGATCGACGGGGGAAGCGAGGATTGAATCTTCCGTTGAGATGCTGGGCCAAGCGGTTGATGGAGCTCCTGCTTGACATTGGGATATGAGGGCGGTAGCGAGGCAGCGAGTTCTTTTTTCGGAATTAAACCTCCAGCCGATTCCGCCGCACCCGAGTACGCTCGGGGTGAACTCAAGCGGTGTTGAGTTTCCGGGGGAGACAATTGCTTCTGTTGATTGAATGTCCCTCCGAAACCCAGCGAATTCGAGCCGGAGTTGTTGTTCGGGCTTGTCTGTGAAACTAGTCCTGCAAGAAAATTTCGAGGATCATGAGACTTTTGATCATCGATTGACGATGCATAGCCAGAGATCGGACCAACACCTACCGGAGAGAAAATCATTCTCCATGGACGAGGAATCACCCTCGAACATAGGGTTGTGAGCTGGCGGAGAAGCGCAACTGGGATAGGGCTGAGAGAAGTCCGCCGTTCTGAGCAAACCACTGGACTCATCGAAGAGGCTGCCCATCACTTGGTTACGGACGTTGGATTTGACTTCATTTGATTTAGATGATATCGACTGACTATTGAGCTGAGGCATGCTGTGAGAATGTTGTGACAGCGGTTGCTGCTGCTGCTGCTGCTGATGGTGTTGATGCACGTCCTGCTTCATGTGGGGCCTCCGACCAGGGTCCAGCAGGCCATGTGCAGCATGGGCGGACGATTGCACGGCACCGTTATTGCTTCCGCGCGGTTTGATGTCGGCTGCTGGTTGTTGGGACTGTTGCTGCGATTGATGCTGTTGAGTTGGTTGTTGTTGTTGTTGTGACTGCTGTTGACCTCCGAGGTAGTGTTGTTGTTGGTACTGCTTCTTCGGGTGCACCATCCCACTCGACGCTTGAGCTGGTTTGATGTTTGGAGGTAGGGAATGGCGTCCCTGAGATTGAGTACCGGCTAGATTCTGAGTTTGCTGTGTTCGTTGATGTTCCTTGTTGTACGAGTAGCGGTCCGAAGTCGAGCTACTGTGGTGGCTTGACATTCGGTGGCCATGACCGCTGCTGGCTTGTTGCTGTTGGGGCTGGGTTTGTTGCTGCTGATGCTGTTGATGTTGTTGCTGTTGTTGGGAACTAGGCGGCGCAGTTCTTCTTCTGTCAGCGATCAATGTTGTCGAGTCGGGCTGATGGGTGGGATGGAGCGCTCTATTCGAACTTCTACTCGAGTCTGCTCGCTGCACTGCGTTCGGATCACTTCTGTGATGCTGCGGCTGCGCAGGAGGTGGCTGCAAGTGAGTCCGATGAACACCGCCAGGGACGTTCTTCAGACAAGAAAAGATTCGGTTCCGCGTTTTCTCGGGACACTTGTCCAGACACGCGAGAAACTCGGCGGATAACTCTGTAGGACGATAAGAGCATCTTTAGGTTCGAACATAAGCACTGTTGGCTCTGGAACTCATGAATACGGCCCGAAGGAGGAGCATAAAGAGGCGTCGTAGAAGAGCTCACCTTCGAGCAACTGCGGGGTCACAGTATCATCGATATAGCTGAACCATTGTCTATTTTCCGAAGATGTCGGGATCTGCGCGGTTCGAAAAATATGCGATACAAGAGCGATCCGATATTATGAACGCATAGACCTCAACTCCACCGCCGGCGAAAAAAATCTACTAACCTCAAGATCTGTCCATTTGCAGGCAACATGGATGCAAATGCATGCAACCACTGTGGGCTTGTATTGAAGACACATGGTAGTGAAATGCAATGTATTTGTTGCTAAGAAGTAAGAAGTTTGTGCGAGTTCCTGCGAATAGGAAGACACTGATGAAGTCGGGGACTTTGGATTCGAGTTTCCCCGCGGATTTCGGAGGATTTGCCTGTAGCTCGGAAACTTCCAATATACCCAACCTACCTTGGTCGCCTTAACAAGCTGACAACATTTGACGACGTGCGTGTGCGGATGGTCGATGCCGATGTCGAATCCGAGCGTTTGAAGCATCAAGTTCTCATTTGCTACCAATTCACCAGCCATGGCGAGGTATTCCTGAGAGTCAAGGAAATAAGAAGTTGCACTCGGAATGTTGACAACTTCCCATTCGCTTGATTCTGACCGCCCGCTTACGCGTAACGATTCTCCGTACACTCGGGCAAGACGCAAAACTTACTTCTGACGTTGGGTCAAGCGTATTGTTTGTGCTCGTTTTCGATAGTACGGCTCTTGCACATTTTATAACGTGTTCCAACTTCCGAGGTTGCTCTTCAACCTTCGCAGCGAGGAACAATGCGCACTGCGAGATGTCCTGTAATGGGGAAACCCGTCAGAAAGTCCGCCAGGATTCTTTCCTCATCAAAGGTCGCCCAGAACCGGTCTTTGCCGGAGAGAAATTCTTCCAATGCTTGAATCGTGCTCCGGTTTTCGTATAGACGGACGTCGCTTCGGACGTACGCAGGAGCCCGCACCCCCCACACAAGGCCACAGACGTTCTAGAGACGACTCGAAATCGTGTCCGCCGCGGTGCGTGAAATGATCTTGATCACCCCTGCCCCCGAAAGTCAGAGGACTGGCCGTCTGAGCTAAGCTAGAACAACGGCTGCCTCCCGTTGGCCGACTCTCTGTGAGTGCGGCGCGTGATCGGGACGAATACGGACAGGTTTCTCATTGAAGCCTTTCGACTTCACGGAGTCAGACCTGGATTCAGCCTCGAACTCACTGGCCTACTCTAAGTTATCAATAGAAGGTTGGACACTTACATTTCTGTTGAATTTCGTGAAGGAGTGGAAGCGATAAAAACGGTGCATGTATACGATGGCGGTGTTGATGCACAACTGATTCCTGCGGAGGGAGAGCAATGTTTCACTGAATATGAACTCATCAGAGTCTCTTTCTCGGAAGCCTTCGCTAAGCCGCTCGGAATCCCACAATCAAATTCTCATCAGAACGGCTAGAGGGGTGTCGAAGCAAGACCGAGGCGGCACCCCGGATGAGACGAACTCGAGGGAGCTTCTCTCGCGAGGACAGCCTCCGAAACGGGCTGAATCAATTCCACGCAAGACGAATATTCGACCGTGAGTTTCCGAGCAATGACTCGCGACTACATCCTATCTAATCACGGTTCTTTAGAATATATGTTCCGGCAGCGGTTTCTACCGCAACACGCTGGAACGTCGTGGTTCCAACTTGAACTCGACAACCCCGAGAGCAGCGGATGATTCACAGTATGATACGCTAATTCATCTCTTCCATTCGGGTTGGGATGCGTCACGAAGTTTGAGCTTAGGAGGATGCGAAACACAATCGAACTCAGAGAACGTTCGAGACAAAAACATGTTCCGCCCAGAAGGAGTTCACGCACGGAGAAATCGAACTCCGATCATCGTCGATTGAGGTCTCCAGAACACAGAACTGCTCACACCAATTGTGAAGAAGCTATTCCTGATAGAGAGCCGGCTAACCGAACATAAGCGGATGGACATTCGGCACCATCAATGAGGCATGACTTTCGGAACTGTCGCACCAAGGTGCAACATGCCCACTGTGTGGGAGGCAAGCGTTCGGGTCCGCCGGGAATCTCTTGACCGGCTATCAGTGATTTCTTGAGGAATATCACTGGACTTTGGCACCGAGAACTAGAGGCGATAGTTATGTTCCACAGTTCGATCACAGAACGCAATGCGAGCCGATTAGGCTTAACTTACACATGCAATCGTTGTCCCATCTCCTGAATCAAATTAGCGGTTTGCTGTCTCTGAGCCAATTCTTTTTCGGGGTCTATGCCACAAGCCCTGCTGGCCGAATTGGCAAGTTCGTCGGCGGTGAAATACCATCTTTCAGCACCATTTGTGTTTGAATTCCCACCAACGGTGCCTGGTCCTACAGCCGCCATCACAACAACAACATGAACACAGTGATGCACTCTGTAGACACCGAAACGACTGGCTCTGGCTATCAACACATGTCGCGGCCAAACGGTGGGCGATATCGAAAGTAGCAGACGGATTCTGAAGAGAGGACTTGATTGAGCCTCCGCCGCTTTGGCCTCTGAGCGGGGCGCGAGATTTCGAATCCCGAACGCCCCAATGAGCCTCGGTGGAACACGAGACACGAGACTGATTTTTGTCCTTGAAAGAATTTCGATGATAGGATCACTCCAATCACTCCCTTGCCCTCAGAACATTCTCCACGTTCATTGTATTCTGTACCCCGATCGAACAGGGGGGGGGAAATGAACGTCCGAGATCCGTAATGGACCGAAAATACGTGTGGTGGGTGGAGGCCGACCGAATTCGCGTGCTTGGGTAGAATTTTTTATTTCAGGGAATAGCTTCGGAATTTCTTCCTCATATAATTCGGTTTTCGCCATGCGATCACGACAGGCGTCGCATGAAGCTCTCGGGTGAAATTGGTTGACATCGCTTTTCCTGATTCTAGCAGAGTTCCTGAGGATGTTAATTGAGAGAATAAGGAATTCGACGTGCAGCGCCTGATACAGCGGGTCGGATTTAGGGAGCGTCATGTTTCGTCGGATCATCTTTCGGAAGAAGCTGTATGACGGGAGGATTTCGAAGGTTTCCAGAGACCTCAATCCTACGTTTTTTCCAACAGCAGCTGGTAGAGCCCGATTGTAGCCCGGTCCCATCATTACACCGATTCCCGGCATAAAGGGAGAAGTAATTTCCGACTTCCGCATTTGATTGTACTCCGGGTCATCATTCATCCTTCCCATCTATGAAGATTTATAATGAGCTGCAGTTTTGGAAGTCCGCAGCGATTTCTTGGGAGCTGCCCCCAGTCAAGCATCGAGGAACTTGAAGACTGAGTCCGCTAGCAGCACTGATTCGAGCAGAACGCTCGCATGAAGTCGTCATATCTCGACATCCTTCACCGTCGATTGCTCGAAGAGAGGGTGCACCTTGGGCATTGCTCACACCATTGCCCCCGTCACAATCCATAATTCTCAGGCGATTCGCATGATGCTCATGGGGCTCTGTGGATAAAAGGACGATTTGTGGGTTCGTCATGGCGAGGATTCTCATCGTGGAGAAATGCTAATCATTCTCATAGGCCTCTGAGGATCCTCATGAGTGTATATGGCTCCCGGCTCCGCGGATAGAAGTGCGATAATTTTTTGAGATTCTGAAGACGAGCTCGGCTCTCGGAGGATCCGGACCGGTCACCTCCGTCCCCGCTTCCATCGTGAAATTGGTTCGAGGGTCGGTTGTTGGTATGTTGTCCCTGTCGTTCCGAAAGCGATCGCTGAACACTACACCGACAACCAGGATAGATCCTGGTCTCCGCGCCGGTGCGGCGGTGACTTTGATCGAATGAGGAACTTCAGATACTCAGGAATGCGGAGCAATCCGACGGCGACTCGCACCCACCGCCTTATCGATATGAACTCGGAGGTCGAAATGAAGCTCCTGTGAGCCCTTCGATACAACCTAGGTAGTCTCGATAAACTGATGATTGGATTCCAAGAATGAATCATATAACCCTGATTCGGAGACAATCCATCGGCAGATCCTGCGCGGAATCGCCTCCTTCGTTCCCCAAGCGTTTTCGTGATCTCCCTCATGGTTCTCTCGACTGTTCATTCCTGAGCCCAAGCATCCTCACGCCTTCTCAGTTCAATCGGAGGGATGCGAAAACTCTTTGCTCGATCCGGAGCTCAGTGTCGTCCCGTGTGCTTATTGCGTATACTCTCTCGTTGAGCCAGTGGATGGGACCGCCTGGTCGCGCCCGAATTCCGGGCGGAGATCATCGGAATCATTGTACTCACTCTCCCTCCCATTGAAACATTCCTCTCAAAATCTCTGACTCGTAAGATACGGACCGGAGTTTGGCGTACTTCCTTAGGTTGACTTTTATCCAACCTCACAACGCCATGGAACATTATGATCACCGGACACTAAGAGACCAGAACGAGTACGATCTCTCCGTGGCCTTCCGAAAGAGCGCGGTATCCGGAGAGAAGCTTCGCTAAGCCTGTCGGAGAGATTCGCGGAGTCGCCGTAATTATTTTCTAGGCCCCGAAGAATGGCCAAGCCATCCTCGCGAGGAGCGGATCGCTCAATTAGCCGAGCGACGATAAACTTCCCCCGCGTGATCGAGCAAAGATACGGTTCCGCTCTTGTTACGTCGGCGGAGCTATACCGGGAACTGGGACTCGATCCACGCCGCTGGTTTTGTGATGCCGGCAGTCCCGGCGAGATTGCTCGAACTCGTCTCCGAAATCTCCAATCGATGCGCGGAGACTTTCTTGTTGAGAAGCTCTCCCGGAAAAGGGTTCAATTGAGCTAGTCGCTCGAAATCCGATTGGCATCGGCTCTTGTGGTTGCTTTGTGGCAGCTTTTGTCACCGAGCAGACGACCGTCTTGGTTGTCTGGCCTCACCTTCTCTGTCCTTCAGTCCGTGCGTTGAGCCAAGCAGCGGTGTGGAAGCTCAGCACAAAAACGACAATGGCTCTTCGACTCTGCGTCTCATCTCTAGCCCCCGTGGCTCGACAGATTGCCTCTCGGGCAACTGTCAGGTGCCTGTCCACCACCCCGAACCGTTATGGGACGGCTGAAGTGAGTAAAGTCAACGGGAGCTGGTTTCTCGGCCCGAAACCGCGGGGGGCGACATCGCTCGATTCCCGAGTTTCCTATCATCTATTGATTTTGCGATAAATTGACGAAAAAAGCTCCTATAGTGCCTTGGGCGAATGAAGAGTCCTAAGAATCTTTCATTCGAAGGTTTCGGCCATTCTCGAGGAGCGAATCTTGGGTCAGACCCCTCAGACGAATCTCGAGGAGACCGGACGTGTGTTGTCGATCGGAGACGGTATCGCTCGTGTTTATGGATTGAAGAACATCCAAGCCGAGGAGATGGTGGAGTTCTCCTCGGGTCTTAAGGGTGAGTGCACATGACCGAATCCATAGAATCTCCGCGTCGACTTCCGCGAAGGGAACCGCATGACCTCGAGGTCGCCGGTTCGTCCTTTAGGGGACACAGCCATAAGACTCAGGCTCATCATGAAGGTTGATTCACCAAGGAACAGATTGAATTCGCTGTATTCCGGGATCCGTTGGGGGGGGGGCTCGCATGGCTCAGGAAGTTTTCCCAATCGGAACTTCAATGTTGGCGATTACGGTGTCATCTGGAAAATCTTGGGGGAAAATCTCGAGGGGAAAAGTATTGATTGTTCTCGGAGAGTCCGAGGAAAGAAGCGGTGGGACGGGGAAAACAAGTCGGTCTAATTCTTCCTATTAAATGTGTTCAGGTATGGCTCTCAACTTGGAAACCGACAATGTCGGTATTGTCGTGTTCGGTAACGACAAGCTCATCAAGGAGGGTGACATCGTGAAACGTACCGGAGCCATTGTCGACGTTCCCGTCGGCATGGAGCTTCTCGGCCGGGTCGTCGACGCTCTTGGAAACCCTATCGACGGCAAAGGAGCGCTCGCGTGCAAACAGCGGTCCCGTGTCGGTATCAAGGCCCCCGGTATCATTCCCCGTGTTTCCGTGCGAGAACCCATGCTGACGGGAATCAAAGCCGTCGATTCACTTGTGCCTATCGGCCGTGGTCAGCGTGAGTTGATCATCGGTGATCGTCAGACGGGAAAAACTGCCATCGCCATCGACGCAATCATCAACCAGAAGAAATTCAACGACGCCGGTGATGCCAAGAAGAAACTCTTCTGCATCTATGTCGCCATCGGACAGAAGAGATCGACCGTGGCTCAAATCCTCAAGAGGCTGACCAGTGCTGACGCCATGAAGTACACCATCATCGTCTCGGCTACCGCCTCTGACGCTGCTCCCCTGCAGTATCTCGCTCCCTACTCTGGCTGCGCCATGGGGGAATACTTCCGTGACAACGGCATGCATTCGCTCATCATCTACGACGATCTTTCCAAGCAGGCCGTAGCCTACCGTCAGATGTCGCTGCTGCTTCGTCGTCCCCCCGGTCGTGAAGCCTACCCCGGAGACGTGTTCTATCTTCACTCGCGTCTGCTGGAGCGAGCCGCCAAAATGAGCGACACTTTCGGTGGAGGCTCCCTCACTGCCCTCCCGGTCATCGAGACCCAGGCTGGAGACGTGTCCGCCTACATCCCGACCAACGTCATCTCCATCACTGACGGTCAAATTTTCCTGGAGACTGAGCTGTTCTACAAGGGTATCCAACCCGCTATCAACGTCGGTCTGTCCGTATCCCGTGTCGGATCCGCCGCTCAGACCCGTGCCATGAAACAAGTAAGTTCGCTCGCTGAATTCTGTCTAGCTGCGATGTCGCGCCGCGCCGTAAACGACTTACGGATTTTGCGGTGCTCTAGCATTTCAATAACCGACTTCTCCTGCTCCGTAGGTGGCTGGTTCAATGAAACTCGAGCTGGCTCAGTACCGTGAAGTCGCCGCCTTCGCCCAGTTCGGTTCCGATCTCGACGCTGCCACCCAGCAGCTGCTGAGCCGTGGTGTCCGTCTGACGGAGCTGTTGAAACAAGGCCAGTACAAACCCATGGCCATCGAGGATCAAGTCGTTGTCGTGTACACCGGTGTTCGTGGTTACCTCGACAAACTCGACCCAGCTCTGATTGGAAAGTTCGAAGCTCAGTTCCTGTCTCTAATGAGAACTCAACACAAGAGCATCCTTGATACCATCGCTTCTGAGGGGAAGATCTCGGACACGATCGACGCCCAACTCAAGAAGATCGTCACCGATTTCGTCGCGTCTTTCCAGGCCTAAACGATTTCAGATGCCACTGAGGTGTACATACAACAACACGTGGAACTGAGTAGGACCCTCTCCGAAGCTTAGCTGAACATCGGCATGGCTAGGATTGGCAACAATCAAGCTGAATGGAAACCTTGACGGACGCTGAATGGATGTTAGCGGTTTTATCTTGAATTAAGAACTTATTCAGTTTGAGAGACGGATTCAAATCTCTAGGAGAATAAAACGGCCGATGACGGCGCTCAACTCGGGATCTTTCTTGCCTCTCTCGCCGGAGTCATTGACTTTGTGACACGGGTCATCATACCGTATCCCCGGACATCTCCTGAGCGGGCTTGCTCGTCAAGGATGAAACCCTCCTCGAAAAACTCCGAGGAAAATTAAGCGGCATCCGCGACGTCGACTGCGTGGTCTAGCCCGCGGAATAAATAATTTTGCCCCCAGTCGATCCAAAGGTGGATCGATTCGAAAGACACCCATGCATTCGAGACCGAGAATCAATTATGACTTGCGAACGCCGAGTTACGAACCACGGCTCAGTATTTATGGACGAAATCAATGAGGGAAAAGAATCGGATTGTGAGGAAAAGGAAGGATCGTTGAAGGAATTGACAAAGTCTAAAACTTGATGGTGATGCAAGGGAGCGGGTAATTCGGGTCTCGTCTCTCTCCCCGGGTGATTTTGGTTCCTGCAAATGATTTCAAAAAAAATTCACGACTTTCGGCGCGACCGCGCTAACGTCCCGGCCCTGAAATAATATTGATCATGGGCCCGTCAGAGGTTCCCGGGGCACCGAGGAGAAGGTCGGAGCCAACACCACCCTTTTGTCCCAAAACGAGCTCCAGCGAGTTTTCGGCCATGAAGGGGACAGCTAGGTTCGAATCTCAGAATTGAACGCGGAGAAAGGGACGAACTACCGGCAATGCATAACTGGCCGTCTCCGGGGCTCCTGGGTCAGATTCACGGTTTTGCTCCTGTACTCATCGATGAATGATTACTGCATATGACGCTCTGATGATTGGCCGCAGACTTCGATTCCGGTGGAACGTTTTCGGAAAGCTAACACGATCCGACGATCCCCGGACGGATCGCTCCGAAAGTTGCTCTAAGTACGATCCTCACGAGCTGTTACCGATGAAAAACTATCGTTCCCGCGTCACCACTGTCCGCACTCGAAACCCTGAGATGGATTCTCTCGTCGTCATCGGGAAAGTTCGTCCTCTTCCCGCATGAGGAGTATCAGACCCACGAGGACGGGAACTCATCGATCGATCGACCGACGTGAATGGGTCCCCGATCATCATCCTACACATGATCTCACTCAGATCTCGCTCGATATACTTGCCGAGTATCTGAAACTGTGTTGGGCGGTGGGTTGCCGTCTGTGTGGTGGTTCGCGAAAAAATCAGTTTCTTCTGCTGCCGTCGAAAACGGGCACCCAGGACGTGTGCTGAGACCTTAGAGCGGACCGCATCCTCCGTCCCGACCGAGATACGCTGCTGTGCTCGATGCACCCCTGAAGCTCGAATCAATGAGAAGACCTGTGGAAGCCGAAACACACACAGTCCCTGGGACATTGAGGACCCCGAAGACCTCAACCCACCGTTCATGGAAGCGCTCTACGAAAGGAATATATCAATAACTCAATGATGAGGGTACATTTGCGAGACAAGGGTGCAGTTCTGCTGGCAACATTGACAACCCTCGTTTGCCAGACCAGCTGATTCGGAGACTTCACAGGCCGGGGAATTTCTTCAGCTCCTCAACTATGCAAGACACCGAGACTCAAGCCATCACCGCACTGATCCGTTTATTGCAAAGAGTAAATCGACGGTTCACGGACCACAATCAGCAGAAAGTTTCTGTAGTGAGCTGTTGAGCAGTGGCGTAGCTAGGCGAGGCGACGCGGCGCGGCGCTCGGTCTGGATTTCAGGAATGCCGTAGAAAGTTTCCCAAAATTTCGGGCTCGTCGGAATTTTCAGTCCTCTCGAACGTCATATTGCACAAGGGGAGAGTTCCTGCTGAGATTCACCGTTTCTCTTGGGCGCCGAAGTCGAGAACGCCCACCTCCTCCCCCACGCGCCCGAGGCGGACCCAAGCCCCGCCCTTTAGTTACGTCACTGTGCTGAAGGCACCGACTTCATTGTCGCGGCCTTTCATGTACTCGAGGTCCAACGAATCACATATTCCCGTCTCTGCCGTGGATACACCATTTCCTCTCCAAACATTCGGGTATCGGATGTGCGAAAATCCTCTGAGCTCGACTGGCAAACATTTCGTCGCTCTATCAACACTGGCTTTCCTTCGGGACGATTTGGTACGTTATGAGATACTCTGGATAGGCCTGGGGAAGATGAAGTTCCGATTAGATAGCCGATTCGATATATTGTGATAGAATTCGCTTGTGAGAGACTTGCCTGTTCTCCGCGGTAAACGACATATTCAGCGAATTGCAAGCCTCCGAGACTCGGTTTCCCGATCACTGAGTGATGACCCGGCGGTGCGTGAGCGACCTGGAGAATCGATTAAATAAATCCACCTTACAGTCAGGGACATCAACCGCTCCGCAAAGATCAGGGCTCCGACCACGAGGAAGCGGCGGGATCAGGATGAATTTTCCAATGATCTTCGATCTCGAATGATTTCGAAAACTTACTTTCATCGCACTGAACTGGAGGAAAGCCTTCCCCAGTGTTACCCTGCACATGAGCATTTGACGCGGACATTGATAGCAGCTTCTGTTTTTGTGGGCGGGACATCCGCTGCCGCCACAATAGCCGTAGACGTACTGATTACTTTTCGAAGAGTTCTCTGCGAAGTAGATGCCGGCACCGAACATCCCACCGATGTAGGAGAGTCGTTCGTCGAAACCTTCGGCGGAGAGGAGAAACGGGATAAAGAGGATTCGGGAAGTAGATTCGGCTTCAATCTCGACCGATCCCTGATCTCGGCACCAACCTTTCTGAACTATGGCGGCGACGAAGGGAGATCCGTGGAAAAGCATCCTCTCGTTGGCGTTGGAATGATTTTCCTCCGCGACTTCTTTCCGTCTGTGACAATACTTTTTGAAAAGTCTCCTATTCCGAACTTTTTGAACTTTCAGGATATTATACCTGGGGACAAACAATCGAACGTAATTGACGATCGGAGCGTGCTATCCCGTCGTGACGATCGAGAGTCGGCTCCGAAGGAAGCACAGGAACCAGTGGAGGTACATGATTGGGCAAAGGAGAGCCTCCAGCAATTCAGCAAAACCCGGGAAAAGTTCAAGGGGGCAGTGATACGCATCTGTTCTAAATCTCACCGGGAGAAAACGCCACCGGCTTGACCTCCGTCGACATGATCTCGAATAGTCTCTTGCATTTCGCTGGCCACAGCCGCGTACTCGATATCGGTTGTCGTTAGATCCATTAAAACTGTTCCACATTGGTTCGGCGGCATGAAGTTCTCCGACGAAGATCCAGTCAACATTTTCTCCACACCTGAAGTTGTTCCCATTCTTATGTGAGACTGTGATATGGTATTGGACAAGCCTATTCACGGCTCCGCTCTCGATGGAATGATTCGCCAACCTTTGATTATTTTATGTCGATGTCCGTAAGCTGACACGCCGATTTCTTTCAATTCGTCGTGACCCATTTCAGCCAGAATGTCAACTGTTATCTGCTCTACCTCGAAGATCTGCTTCAATTCACTGAGATTCAATTGTTCTAGCAGTTGTAAAACCTGAAAAAGGGGAAGAAAATCATGCATTTCCAAGCATCGGTTCTGAATGCATGCTCATGGCCCTACCAAATGCGTCCGCAATCCCATGTCATCCGAGGTCCGAGCCAGGAATCTGATAGGAATCATTCTTACTTGTTGATTCGACAGCGTTATGTTGAGGTTCGTGGTTTCTGGCGATCCCTCCTTGTGATTCTGTTGGCGTCTGTGCATGGTCAGCAGGGTAATCGCCGGAGGTATATCGAGATCGACGACTGAGCTCGCTGGAGTTGCGTTCGAGGATACTCTAGAAGCACCTTCAGCTTTCAGACTGTCTAAACCCGAGTGGATTCTCGTGGAAACCGCGTTCAGAGGCAAAGCACTCGGCAAGGAGTCCATGAGGAGGCATCGAACATCTTCGGCATGCGCCATGTCCAAAGGAGTCTGACCCTGGTGAACGAAATTCATTTGAGGAACGTTGTCAGCCAATCCAACACGCCAGAATTCCTCATGATCAAAGGAGAACGCCAAGAAAAACCTCATTGTTCCGGAGGAGGGGATTCGCTCCATGTGCGAGGAGAAGTGAACAAAGCTGGGTACGACCTTTCTGGGCGGCCTCGTGCAGAGGCGTGAAGCCCCAACGATCCACTGCGTTGACCACAGTGCCGAATCTGCGAATGACGAGCCGATGCCTAATTCTCGTTCATATTTACAGTCTCCGAGACCTCAAACGAATCTCGATATTTACCCTGACCACGCAAGGAAAGGGTCTCCACTCACTTTATTAAAAGGGCTGCGATGTCTAGATGTCCGTAACTCGAGGCATTGTGCAGAGGAATGAGACCTCCTTTGTCTTGGGCGTTGACGTCGGCTCCTTTCTCCAAGAGGAATTCAGCGACTTCCAGATTGTTGTAACCTGAACAGAGAGATTTTACTTCTGTCCGCTCGATTCAGAGGTTCTACCGAGGCGAAAAGCAAGGCTCTTGAGCGCGGATCCAGCATCTATTCCTCTGGGATTACCTGCGGCCAGATGTAGAGGCGTAGAATTCCGACCCTGAGTATCTCTACAGTTGATGTTGTCGCTAGAGATCAATTTCGCCAATCTGACCACGTCCCCTCTCTTTGACGCGTCGAGAAGGGCGGCGTCCCCGAGCAGCAGGTCGGAAACATCCTGAGGAATTCAATATCGGTCAGAGCTGGGCTCGTGGATAGACACATAGGTGTATTGTACCGGAGTGATCCGTTTCTACCCGATTCGTTGAGCGCGAAGCGATACAAACGGGAGACGGTACTGACCTGGTCTCCATCCTTGACGAGATCCAAAGGAGTATGTCCGTCTCGATTTTTCTTCGCTGGATCAGCGCCGTGACTGAGGAGTAGTTTGACAATGTCGTATTTTCCTTTTGCGGCCGCCTCATGGAGCGGGCTGAACTTCCAAAGATCGGTGACATTTACGTAAGCGCCGTGCTTCACTAAGAGCAGAGCGACTTCGTAGTGTCCGTAGGAGCAGGCGTTGTGCAAAGGAACCAAACCTCCTTTGTCTTTAGCGTGCACGTCAGCGCCCGTTTTGAGAAGGCATTCCACCACCGATACCTTCAATGAATTCGGCAATATGGATGAGAAACGGATGTGAGAAACCTCCGTATAACGTGAGGATCGCCAGCGATTACGAGCTCTAAATTTTGTACAATGACACCGAAACTCGTTACTCAAACAGCTCGTCCTCACCCTGTTGTATCCCGCGGCGAAATGCAGAGGCGTCGACTGGCGACCATCGACGTCTCGACAATTGACTAAATCAGGTCTCAAATTGAGTATTCCCTCCACGATATCGATGTCGCCCGCTTTCGAAGCTTCGAGGAGCTGATATTCTGATATCGAGTCCTCAGAGAGCTCGGTCAGCAGCTTCCTCACCTAGATCGAAGTTCATCCTAAGCCCCGAGGATTTCGTATAATGATCTCGACGATCGATCGATCGTTCGGAATATCATAGATCTGCGGCGCATCGGGTACAAACCTCATCTTTGGCGACTTGTGCGGCAGTTTCTCCCTTACTGTTCACCAATTGTGCATCTATGCCCAAAGCGAGCAGAGTTCGACACGCAGATAAGTTCCCGCTGCGACCGCATCTGTGTAGAGCGCTTTCCCCGTTCCCATCCAGAGCGTTTATTTTCGCGCCGTTTTCTGCGGAGTTCAGAAGATGTGACGCGAGCGGTCTCAGGGCCTGCTCTGAACCGCGAGCATCGTTCGAAAGGTTACTCACTCAACAGCAGATCGATCATATCGAGGAATGTGTGGTCGGCAGCGATGTGCAGAGGAGAAAGCATTTGTTTGTTCTTGTCGTTCACGTGCGCACCCTTGCGGATCAGTATCTCGACAATCTGTGTGGAGACCAGACTCCGTGTAAAGTCGGGAACAGGGCTCGATAGGGAAAACGCCCTCGATTCCGGGCGGAATTCTCGCTCATAATGGATCGAAATTACCTTCTTCTTGTTCGCCGCCGCGGATACAGCGCAGTGTAGTGCGCTGTCCCCGTTTAGAAAACTTTTGAAGTTTATCAACTCCTGGGCGATATATTTTTTCACTCTCGCCAAGTCTCCTGAGGAATCAATGCGGGACAGTTATGGATGTGGCGCGTGAAGAGCGACTCCTCTCAGTGGGACGGGGCGGGCTTGCGCTCCATTTGGAGGAACCACTGCCTTTTTGGGCTGTGGGGCGTGATGCCTGACCAGCCATCTTCACCCGTCGAGAAAGTGAAAACTGAATTCCACTCACCGCTACGACAGGCTTCCAAGAAGCAATTGCCTCTGTATTCCAACAGCAATTGCTGCTGAATCTCCCGCGTGGGCGCCATCGACAGAGCAGACCTATCGGAACAACATGCATTCAGAGATCGTATCACCGACATGTTCATCTCACAATAGAGAAAACGGGCGTAACACCGCAATGGTTCTAACCTGGAATGACAGTTCAGCAGTGTGGGATCAGCTCCGTGGGCTAGCAGCAACGAACAAACATCGAGTCTACATTTCGAGGCTGCTTCGTGCAACGGTGTGAATTGCCACAGATCCATTGCATTGACGGCAGCTCCCGCACGGAGGAGGAGCTCGGTGACCTGCGACAGAAGAGGTGCATCGGGAAATTTCTTCGGGGAACGGAGAGAGCATCATCTGATACCGCAGCCCTGAATCACTTTGAACCCTCAAGTTGGGTCGAGAATGAGCTGAGCTAACCTCATAGTGTCCATACGAGCAAGCGTTGTGCAGAGGCACGAGACCGCCTTTATCCTTTGCATGAACATCGGCTCCTTTCTCGAGTAGGAGCTGAACAACACGGATACGGTTATAACCTGCAGCCAGGTGAAGCGGCGTGGACTTCCTCCCATCACTCGCGTGACAATTGACGTTGAGCGGCGTCATCAGAAACATCAATTTCTCCTCGTTCCCGGATCGCGCCGCCTCGAGAAGTTCGTCTTTCCGGTGCTCTCCGCGGAGCACAGCTCCTGCTGAAGGATCGGCTAAGTCGATCGGCGTTTTCCCATCGGAGTTCTCGGCAGTGGGGTCCGCTCCGTTCTGCAGCAGCACCAGACAAACATCGGTTTTTCCTATGGAGAACGAGGGGAAGAACGAGAAATATTCAGCAATAAATGCGGGGCCGTTCGTTCGGAACTTTTGCGATGCGATAAACGAGCGGATCGTACCCTTTGCAGCGGCTTCGTGCAAAGGTGTGTAACTCCAGTTGTCTTTCGCACTAGGATCGGCGCCTTTCTTCAGTAGCAATTGAACGACTTCGGCATGGCCGAATGAGCAGGCGTTGTGCAAGGGAACTAGGCCTCCGTCGTCCTTGGCATGCACGTTCGCACCATGTTGGAGCAGGTGCTCAACTACGTCTTTCCGGCCGAAGCCGGCCGCAAAATGTAGAGGCGTGCTTTTGCGACCGCTGGTGTCCCTGAAAATGATGATCGAGTAGGTCCGAGCGCTTGGAAAGGATTTCCATCTCCAATCGAGGAACTGAAGTATAATCCAACAAACCTCGCGTTGACATTCCGGGATGTGATGAGCCTGCGAATCTTGGCGATATCGCCGTTGCGACAAGCTTCGAACAATTCCCGTTCGTTGGCATCGGGAGTACCAACATCCGGGGTTTCTATCGGGGGGCGTCCCGAAGAAGACATCGCTAATGTCCTGAAATCGGTGGATTATCATTATTCATCCATCTTCCTCATTCGGGATTCGCTCGCAGTCGGTGATGATGTCAAAACTCTATGGCTCTAGGGCCTTCGTTCTGTCTATATGCGAAAGCTCCTCAGATGCCCTCCACGCAACTGGCTCCTTCGCTTATCGATGAGATACTCCTAGGTGCCTCTTGAACACTCGATCTCGATCGCGAAAACTTGCAATAGATAATCCAATTTCAACTCCGAGAGGTGGTGAATGCCGAAAGGCGCATCCACGTCCAGCATTCTTACATCAAACCTCTTTCAATCAGGGTCAACTGGGAGGAATCATCCGGAGCAGGAGGGTCCCAGGAGCCTTCCGCACGATATTCTCAGCTTGCAGGCTACTATTCCCAAGATAAAATGATAGTGCACCCTCCGTCGAGGGAACTCTGATTCCCCTGGGAAGCTCAATCTCAGGTTATGATTTTCCCTCGATATTTGACAGTAGAAGAAATACCCTGTGATGCTCGCCAAGAAACACCCCAGATGCTCATTATCCGAATCTCAGTGATGAAATTGAAACTGGACGATTGTATCAATTTTCCAAATGATCAACGGTGAAACTTCGTCAGGTCGGACTTCCAGGAGCCGCAGAAAACGGCTTCCGCTGTGCCTCCCGCAGTTCGACCGCTCCGATGCGAAGAGTAGAATACTTCGGGGGAGTTGTCGAGGGGAGCGATTGACATTGAATTCTCGGAAACGTTGAGGCAGGTCAGATATCCAGAATTTAGGGAGCTCTCCTTGGTAGCGAAACTGATCCTGGATTCTTCTGTTCGGAAACGGGTCCCGCGGAAGGCTGTCGATAGATACACCGTCCCTGAATATTCCGCAGTCTTGAGTCGGAAGAGGAGCCTTCGATCCGCGCCTTGACCGAGTCGGACGACATTATGACAACTCCGTAATTCTGGGAAGTACCCCTTCCAAGGGGAGCGGACTTCTCCTCTCCGGAGGGGACCTCCTGGGAGCTCCGACAATGGATGTTCCTCGATGAGAGGAGTTAACAAGCGTCTATTCTTGCTCCAGATCTCACTGGTTATATGTATGAGCGGAACACAGCGATTCGCCGCCGCCCATGACAATGGATCGATGGAACATTCCGTCGATGAAGCGAGAAGCGAACCGATCAGGTGATCGGCTCTTCAAATCAGGTGATTCGCAAAGATCGAGTTTCTCAAATCGAGGGTAGAAGCCACTCCCCTCGTTCGTTCAGAGTGAGTCTGTCACACTCGTTCGCTCTCTTGTGAATGACAGAACTCTGGAATTGGACACATCCCCCCGAAACATATCCCGTTCGAATTATGGCTGAACTTACCACTCCGGAGAACGATCACCGAAACTGTGAATCAATCAGTCCATAGTAAACAGCTCACATCCCCGACACTATAAGTCTTAGGTTTCGAGCGAGTCTTACTGCCGTCATACACATATTCACGCCGAACTCCACAAAATTCAATTTCTGAAACCGAAGGAAGAGTTTCACCAGACGGCCACCACGAACTAGATGCAGCAGAGCATCCGCTCACCGCGGTCCACGGGACGAGCAGGCGCTGTGGACCCTCTCTCTCTTTCAACCTCGATTGCAATAGGCCCGCCTGAAGGGCTCGCGGGTGTCCATGACGCGGGAAACTTTGTCGCTTCCCACCTCAGAGCTCAAATTGGAAGCTGATCGAGCTTCCAACGAGATTGCAGCTAATTATGGTCGGAAAAAACATCCCTAATTCTATCATATGTTCAACTACAAGGAGCAGGAAACTAGAAATTACGAATCCCGTCTCGAGCGAAATCGAACGAGCCCCGGGGACCCGAGCGGTGCAAATGTTCCAGAACCTCAGGTGATATGTGGACCATCGATGCTTCCGAGGCTTTCAACCTCATTTCTTAGGTCTTCATCCGTAAATCATCGAGAACGCCTTGTGTAGCCGGCCCCCATCATCGTCTCCATTAGAAGAGGGTGGCGAGTCGCACAGATTCTAGATCCTAGGCACATGAATTTTTGGTGGTCGCTCAATGGTGAGGAAAAATGAGGAGGTCGGTAGCTGATGACGGAGTCAATCGCGTATAAGCGACCTCACCACGTCCGCGGTGAGGATCAGGCACCGATCCTTCCTCTCATCTACGGGCATCCATCCTCGGACCCGGCCCGTGGTCGGATTTCCGTGTAGGGGGCTGCGTTAGGGTTGAAATGAGGAATCAGGATTTGGGGTGCGGAGTAGTTTATTCTGCGTCGAGCGAGCTTTCACTCGCGCAGCTCGGATTCCTGCCGACACGTATTCCTTTCTGACGATGAGATTTGCTACCTACCACGCAACGGCGCGTTCCGCGAACGTGATCGCCGTCTTCTGGACCTTCTGTAGCAGAGAGACCATGCTCTGATCGACCGAGCTTCGACTTTTTATAATCTCACCCTTCTCCGTGGCAAAAGCTGGTCCAATTCGAGCTAGATCCAGCAAGCGGAAGTTGGCGCAGAGCACCCCGGTGTTGGAACCTTCTCCTGCCTGAAGGATGGATGAGGTCGCAGCCATCGCTCCTCAGCTGCTCCGCAACGTACCTTGTGAGAGGAGTCCCTTGTCTGAGAGCACGGCCCGAAAAGACAGTTCACCTCTGATCCTCAATAGCATATCACATCGAATCGTTGGACGGCAAAGGTTCTCCAATATAGGGCGAACATTGAGTGAACGTCTTTTTTTGAGAACTCGTCTATGGAGCGGAGGCACAATGGAGTTGCGGGGTCGACCTCGGCTCCGGCCTCGAACAGCTCTGAGATATCATCGGGCGAACTTAAACTCGATTGGCGGTCAAGATCTTCGGGAATGAAGTTCAGCGGAACGTCCGGGATGTCCATTAACAGCTCGATCGGGCAAAAGCGAGCCCATATGGTGGATGGGTGCGGTATCGGCGTGAAAAAAATAAACGCGGTGCTCGGAGCTGGAACTTTTCGAAAAGTCATGATTCCATGATCGCATGATCATGAAGACGATGCGAAGAGCGAGGAAATCACCCCGCATTGAATCGAGATACGATGCGGGAGCTCCGATCCCATTTATGGTTCTGAAATAATTGGCCGACAATGACGCGCTGTATCCCAAATTTAGGAGGGAACTTCCGAATTCCAGTAGTGAGCACACGGCCGCGTCTTTGACGTGAACGACATACATCGGCCGAGTCGCTAATCTTCTCTTCAAAATGTCTTACGAGAAGTTCAGGGAGGAATACACAGCTGGAATCTCTCTATCGACGAAGCTCGGAGAATTTCTGAAATAGATATATCTAGATCCGAGATGAGCGTCCGACTCCTTCGGATCAATCTCGCTGGCTAGTATTATCCAATGAAGAACGCAGCTGGGGGCGGTGAACCTTCGGCCAAGTCCGCATGAATCCCAGCCGATCAGGACGGACCCGATTCACGGGGCTTTTTATTTCTCTCTCAAGCCCTTCCATATAAGGGTCTCATCCGTTTCACCGCATCGGGTGGACTCGACTCACTCACTAACTTCTCGGTGGGGAGGTTAGCCCACGTCCAAACTGGGTTCACATTCAGGCACAAGAAGACTCCATATCGGTCATGGAAACATTATTTCAAAGAAGAGTCAATCACCCTGGGATCTGACGTCACCGGACACCACTCAGCTCCGGAATCGTGGTGGTTTGTGAATGCTGATGTCGCTCATCTTCGGATTGTTTACGAACGTGTTCCAGAATTGATTTGACCATGGCGGCAAAAAATGGGGTTTCGCGAGGTTTCTCCGAATACCTCTCAAACTGATCGAGGTTATCGTGGAGTTTCAAAGTCAAAGAATCATAGTTTCCACGAACAACTTCGAGGACCTGAGCTTCAGTAAGGGACGCGAGTCCGTTTGCGGTTGCCCACGAGTTGATCTTCGGGTTGAAGTGATTAACAATCGCTCGAATATTCACCAGATGACTCGCAAGTCTTGCGGCTGATTCTCGCCACTGAGTGGTTTTCTCCGAGTCGCCCGAAGCGTATCGCAGCGCTGAAAGTCGGGAACAGTTTTTGCACTTGAACGGTTCATCGAAGTTTCGGATCGAGAGCAATGACCCAATGACTTTAATGCTCACCTGTCGAATAAAGATTGTCGAAAACCTGATTACAGCGGATGATCTCATAGTACAACTCGTCGTAACTTGGCGGCGAGGCGAGAAAAGTGTCCCCGTACGTAATGAAGAGGTTTATTATGTTCACGATTTGCGAACAAACGATGAAGACGTTGTAACGTTTCGCCAAGGTAACCTGGAAAAATCACGCCCCAGAGCTGAGCATACTGTGATGGAATGAATCACCTCAGTTTGACTTTGCCATCCGGGGGAAGAGTGCAGCATCCGCCTGAACTTCGGAGCCTCCTCGGAGCTTTGAAGCGGGGATTTAGATCCTGGATTGACTAGAATTGAATTTCGAGCGGCAAAAATCTTCCCGGTGAACTCCTTGGAAGGGGTTGGGTTCGCGGAATCCGCCTCGTACGATGTTCCCTCCACTTGAACCTCTGATCCCCCGATGTGGGAAACCGACTGTGAATTGGATTGAGCCTAACCTCGTTTGCAAGGATGAATTTTAAGACGCTGATCAGGGCACTCCACAGTTCCTTCCATGGATATAAGAGACGCACACGATACCGTTTCTGATAGCAGAGGAGTCGGTGAACGATTCCGAGACATCGTCTTAAAGACGGTTAGAGAAAAATGTTAGATGCGCGATCTCTGTCGCTCAACAAGGATCATGGTCAGGAAAGAACGAGGAGCTGTCAGAAAGGCTACGGCGACGCGGGAGCCAATCTCTTCCTTTCTGAACGCGGAAGTCAATCTTACACGTAAAGGTCGAGGGAGAAGTTTTTCCTCATGTTGCAGAGCATGAACTCAACCATGAGGTCTAGTACTGCCGCAGCGAGCGGTCGGGACGGGCAATCGCGAGTTGATGGTAGCTTCCGGTGCCTCATCGGCGCGTGGTGGATCACGACTTTGTATTGCATATTTATATCGTGCATGATGGAATTGGCGTACTGATCTTCAGCTATGCACGTCAAGTTTATGAAACAAAGCTTCGTGGTGTGGAACGAGGACTCTTCTGAGGAATAGAAGAGTTTTTCAATGGTGGAAAACTATGCAACCTGCATTGCGATTGTGCGGAGAGCCGAATATCTGGTGGGGACCGAGGACCTCTTCGTCACATCCGTACCTTTGGTATTCTGCATGACGATCGAGACAAACTCGATGAATGTGACAAAAAGATTCGTCGGCGCCTCGTGAAGATCAGCATTGTGACTTTCGAAACTCTGGTTGTCCTGCAATGATGATGGAAATTCCATGGGAATACACCCAAGTGCATGATATCATGTTGGGAATACATACATTCTCTCAAGCAACTTACGCTCCGGACATGCGATCCGCTACTCGGTGCATCTGGAGTCGACGGGGTCAGCGGCGGGGAGGCCGGTCTGAGCTCGATGCTCCCGGGCTGAGTCTGTGATCAGCCAGTATAAGTATTCTTGAGCTCAAGCAGATCTCCCGAATAGTTTCTATTCATAAATGAAGTCAGTCAGCGATCCTGAGAGGACAACTCACATTCGTCAGCACCGCGAAAAAATTTCTGTTCAGGTGCACAGCCTCGTACATAGCGAGCAAAGCGGCATCGCAACGTTTGTTCTCCCCCTCGATTGGGCTCGATTCCTCGGGACTGGACAGTGGTGTGAATATGCCCATCCACGATGTGAGACCCGAAAACATACCACCAGGTACGCTGTTTCGAGTCACGGTCTCCCGAGCTCCAGGAGCAGCGAAACGCCGGTTGTAATCGTACAGGGTACAAGCGATTACCTGACCGAAGCCCTGCCGCGGAGGAAAGATCGGTCATCTCGATTATCAACAAGAACTCCTGACACGGAGGGATTTCGAGAGGTCTCCGCATACGATCCGACATAGATATACTCTCCAGCTATATGTTCTGGGATCTTACGTTCAGAGCAAGCTCGTTGTCAGCAATTGAGAGTTTCATAATGTAAGGGTTGGTGCTCTCATATTTCCTGTAGTTAACGATCAACGTCAGCAGGAGCACAGCGTGATAGCCGCACTTCTGCCGTGAAATTCCGTCCGATAGGAGACCAATCAGAGCTTCGAAGACCGAGGTGGTCATGAGAAACTCCACCAGCACATTATTGGATACCGTCTCCGCAGCCTTCAATCATGATTACTCAATTTACAATGCGTCTCGTTGAATATAGAAATCTCCTTGTTTCTAGCCGCGGATGACGAATGATTCACCTACCGTTACTAATACCAATAGCGTGTCGAGGACCGTTTGATGGAAACCATGCGGGAAAGGTATTTCGAGAAAAGTACAGGAAACTCCTAGTAAATCTTCCATGGAGGCCTCTGCCACATCCGTCCCAAGTAGCAGATCTATCACATCGATGCCTGGTGTGAAAAGTCGTTTTCTTAGCCGTGGATGATGAGAAATTGACGAGAATTAGGTTCCCTGACCTCTTCGAAGGCCGCTCCACTGACCTAGATCAAGCTCCCTGTTCTTGCTGAAGAGGGCTCGTACCAAAGTCGCGAAAGTTTCATATGCGTTGACAATTCTGATACGGTTGTCGGACTTCACCGCTCGAATACTTTCCGCGGAAATTCGATTTATGACCGGCTGGAATGCGGGAGGATTGAATTCATTGCTTCGAGTGAACCCCCGATTGGATTTCCTTGACTATAAGTTGTTCACTCACTTTTAATTGCAGAAGTTTCTCCGGTTTCATGAGCTCGAATTCTTTCGTCAAGAAGCCGCTGTTTACCTGGAAGGGTCAGATATTGACCGATGAGGATCTGTACGGTCTCCGACCAAGAATCGAACGCGGAGCAACGAAAGAGAGCGTTGGGGAAGAGGACGTTGTGCCCGGCAATCGCGCGCCGAAGTTATCGGCACCTACCTTCAAGAGGAACAGCTCGTCCCAGAAATGATCGTTGCTGCTCCACGGCTCTTCGCCGTCCAGGAGTCCTTCGTATATCTGCACGAATTTTTTCTTCAGAGGGAAACGATTCCCTTTGCTCGCCATCGTGTATGCTGCAACAGAAGGCAAGACCATTTGGGATCAAGCGGCACCAAGCTTCCCGACTGACTCCGAAGTCCTACCCATCCGCACATCCTACAATGCGAGAGAACTCAGCCCGTGGTCGGATCGTATACATATTCCAGGGCGCAGAAGGAAGACCGGAAGTCGTTCTCCCGAGAGATGTCACGATCCATAGGATTATATATGGCCCCACCGGTCGTTGGCCATGAAGGAAACCGACTCCTGTCCGAAGCGGGAAATTCCTTTGGGGGACTCCCTCAAGCCCCAAGCTCTCAGAGGTCCTCCCCTGGTTCATGAGCAGCCTGGGCGGACGAAGAAACTGAAATCTCTCGAAGCTCTTACCCACCTCTTAGAAGATGAAGACGGCTCCTGTCAGAGACGAGATCCGAATCTAACTGCGGCAGGTCATGTCTCCCCCAGGTCAGACCTCGCACTGATGTCGTCTCTAATGGGCACTGAGAATCAGTTCGTCAAGACGTTCGGACCGCATCGAGTGTAGTGCTGCACTCATAGTCTCGTAGTTAACGCCAGCGCTGGGGGAATTTTCGCTGCCGAACAGCTGTTCGGAATGGAATTGGCGCCAAACTTGAAAATGGCCTCCCTTTCTCGAATGTCAGCGGATGACAGTTCGATGTTGAGGCTCCCAAAGCATAGGTGCAGAGATCGAGGAGCATGTCAATTCCAGGGCTGACTTCTGTCATGGCTTTATTATGTTCCAAGAATGTACGGTCTCTAGGAGGATATGGTGTCCCTCCTCCTTCCGCTGTCATCTATCAACAATACACACAGGGAGCTCCTACGGCTGAATTGCTGTGTCCGACGGCGACGAATAAGTGCAAAGAAGCCGCCGACGGGCTTCAGACCCAATCGAGTCTGATGTCGGTCACATTACCGTCGATTCCCAATGAAGGAGTGACGCTGGGAAATGATGTTGCAAGCAGAGAAGCCCCTGCGGGGAGGAGCTGCTCTGCCACGAATCGCACTGTTCTCTCCGAGCTCGATACCTGGCGAAGAGGGACGTTCCTGAGCAAATTGTCCTATTGGGGAACCCGATTCATATTCGACACCACAGATCTTCGGAAAGCGCAGGTCCATCATACCTGGACGTGAGTCGCCGGAGCGGCACACGGTTCCGCCAGCTCGAACTTCTCGTAATACAGCTTCCGGAGTCGGCGATGACGAGCGCCTCTCACGTGTCTCTGGGTCGATTTCTGATCTGAAGCAGGGAAATAAATTCCACAGTAATCGCAGAAAATCCGCTTCCCCATCTCGATTCCATCGGAGGCTCTCCCGACTCTCCGCTCCCTTTCGAGAACTCCGCTGCTGTTTGCCGGCCGGCCGGCGCCCAGCACATGCCGCTCTCCATCGGATAGCAGCTGCGTGTTTACAAACAGACAGCGCTAAGGCGGATCACGGACGCCGCAAATGATCATAGATCGAATGTGAGAAGAACTTCCATCGCTTAGAGGAACAACCTGCCACCTTTGCCACGGGACCCTCATCGAAAGACCTGGAATGAACTTCCGCTGAGACGAGATCTCCAAGATCCGGACGTGGTTGAGCATCGAGCGAGAGGTGGGTAGTCAGAGACGCCGATTCCGAGCTTCCAAAACAGTGCACAGCATGCTGAATGAAACATTCTCACATCTTCTTATAGTTTCTCTCTTCTCTGCAGCATGGTGTCACACTACGATCCGCCATCGTGGGCTGGTAAACCTCCAATAGGTCTACACCTGGACGTCACGAAAGAGGAAAAATTCATCCAGAAACTCATGATAGACGAAAAAAAGTGCTACTTGTTCGGGAGGTAAGGACTTCGGACGTCCAGACTCCGTATCTGATTAGCTGATCGTACCTTCTCCATGAATCCGAGCTCTCGAGAGTCAAGTCATCGATCAGGCTGGAGAACCCAAAAAACTAGGCAGCCCGTACCATACATGTAAAGCCTTTCATTTGCCCCCGTCTTGACGTTGACGGGACGACGTCGTGGTCCGCTGTATTCCCGATTTGCGTTGGCGAATGTGAAGCTTAGAATTCCTCAGACCGCTTTCACAATTGAGATTGGATGTGGGACCTTGATGAGGCGATTGCCTAATGATGAATGTGCCTCTGGAGGTGCACATTAAAGCGGAGTTCTTCTTCAGGAATGCCGACATTTGTGATTTCCCTGTCGAGCATCAGAGCTGTTCCAGAGTTCATGCGGCCCTGGTCTACCATAAACACCTGGATAGAGCTTTCCTAGTCGATCTCGGGAGCACTCATGGGACGTATATCGGTAAGTCCCGCCGATTCGACCACCTTTCGCCGATTCTTTGGGTTCTGTTGCTCAAGCAGCGACTTGAGGCTCGCTATGTTATGCACATTCCACCACGGAATCAATATTCGATATTAGATCTTGGAACTTTTTGATTACAGGGAGGGTTCGACTCGAAGCGCAAAAACCGACGCAGCTACCCTTGGATTCCAAGTTTCATTTTGGTGCGTCCACGAGAATTTACGTGCTAAGGTGAGCCCCCTGCCATCACGGCAGAATGTAATTGTATTCCAACTCATATTCGACCAAGCTCATCATCCCTGGACATTTTCGAAAACGGAACATACTTCCTAGGGAGCGACCTCAAAATAAAGAAGCCGAAGAAGGTATCAGCGTCGAGCTTCCAGAGTCAGAATTGGAGCTCGACAACCTCACCGAATACAACACTGCTCACAACAGGAGGGTCACCATGCTCGGTTCGTGTATTTAGCTTCTACGATGCGTCCCATGATGTGCTCGACTGCTCGTTCTAAGCGTAGAGTTCAAACGAATTCGCGAATCCGAGAGACGGCTTCTCTCATTACGAGCTCGATTCTCAGGTATAACTGATGATTCTCCGGCATCGAAGAACAGAAAGTCAGCCTCTCATGGGAGGAAAGTCGTTTTCAAGGACGAGGAGGATATCATAAACCCAGAAGATATCGACCCATCGGTTGGAAAGTTCAGAAACTTGGTCCAAACTCAAGTTATCCCATCGAAGCGCATGCGGTTGAGCGATGATGTGTTCATGGAAAACGAATCGAGAATGTTTGGAAGCGCTGTGTCTTCGCTAAGATCTCAAGGAGATGCAGGCCTGAGAGACAATAACCTGAGCAGTCAACGTGCTGCTGCCCTTTATTCATCTACACCCTTGATGAGTTCGAAGCTCGGTGAGTTCTATCAACCGCTGGAGCTTACGAGTGTAGCGGCGGAGAATGAGCTCGACAACACACGACGAATGAATTTCGCCTGAATCTCCTGGCTCTTTCTTGAATCTTGGACCGTTTCTGTTTCAGGACTCCAGCTTCCAAACCCGGCGCCGGATATTTACGCGGACCGCGACGCTCCTCGAGAAGAACTGTCCAGCCAATTGAATACCGCTAAGAACGCAGCGAATGAGATGCTTTTTACTGGACCTTCCCCGTCGCCTCTAGACATAAGTCACCAGAAGAAGAAGTATCCCAAAGAGGCTTGGGGAGGTAAGAAAGCGAAAAGTAATCCCATCGCGGGTCTCTTCTAATCTCAGGCGAGACTGACAGTCGGAACGAGGCAAGTTCTGGACATCTCGTCATGACGGAGCACATTCTTTCGGCACATGAGCCATCGTCTCTGAATGGAGAGATCCCTTGGTGATAGGATCCACGACTTTCTCAAAGCCATCGGAAGTTCTAGGATCTATTTGTAAATAATTTCTGTAAAGAATTTCGTCCGAACTAATGGTGAAATCGTTGTCTTTGTCTCGGAAGTCATCGCTGCATAAAAAATGAGATGATGAGACACGTCAAAAGTGAGGGGAACGGGGGAGGCGGAGCCGAAGGTCGACGGCATCGGGCTAATCGGGGGGGAAAGGCCATGACTCACCCTTCAACCCTTCACTCTGGTGATTCTGAGACGTTCGTCGTTGCGAGCCGCTCTCCCTCCAATAATACGAATATCGGTATCGTTCCCACCGGATAGAAATTCTAACCCGGGGCCAAGCTGCGCCGAGATGCACAGGCCTCAGTACCGGAATTAGGTTTTCGCAGATTTCGCCCCAGAACCCCGAAAACGTCCGAGTAGACCTGCAAATCGATCCGCAGACTTGATTTTCATAACTATGCTCCCTCCGTAGAGAATCACCAAGATTCTAAATTGGTCCGGATCCTGGCCGAACCGCGAAGGAAGCCCAATCGCACACGGGCCCAGATACCAGGTGGAATGGCAAGCGGACTTATTCTGCGCCCGGGAGAGAGTTCCGCCAGCCGTTTTCTCCCCGACTGAATGTAGCTCTCTATAGGGCGGAACGCCTCGAGACATTCCTCCGAATATTTTTCTCCGGGGCGGGGAAACTGTCTCATCTCCGCATGGGGGTGGAATCCAGTATGGCCGCTCTCTCCGACATCTTGGCATTACGAACGCTCAATCGGGGAAGATTGTGGGGAGGGCTCAAGCTCCCCACTGCAAACGCGCCCGTCCCTCCGCCCCCGCGACGCTCAGATTGATGGACTTCGAGAGCTTGGGGGTCAATGGCGCGGGAGAGACCTTACCGTTGCACTCAGAAGATCGATTCTCGCTTCGTGAGCCCTTGATTCAATCGGGACGATTCCATCGTTAGAATACGGCGACTTGGAAGAAAAATGCGCCAGCTCGAGCTCCTCAGACTAGTTTGACCTACACTCGACCATCGAGTCCAATTCGGCGGAAGATCATGAGTACGAACTATTTTCCCTCGAAATCGAACGCGTTTCCCGAATCGTACGGACTGCTGGAGGGGACGGTGATTCCTCGACTACTCCGGCGGTCACGTTCCTCAGAATCTTTTTAAACAACAAAGGCGATGGACCCGATTTCGAAAACCAGGATTCCATGGAAGGCGGTATCGAAAGTCACCCAATATGTACAAAAAGCCTGAAGCCTCGGAATATGCGTTGGAGGACCGACACCATCGGAATATGCATTAAAGAATGAAAATATATATGGCAGGGTATTATATGCCCCACGGATGAGCTCCTCTAATTGAGGCTTCCGGAAGAGCAGAAGGTTTGACGAGCCTCGTTTTTCGTTGATGAGGGCGGCGTAAAAGGTCGCATCTCTCTCAATACTGTCGACTCTTCCTCATCGGAGCCATCAATAACCCGCAGTTAGCGGGCTGGACTCGACGTTGATAAACGGGATATATCTTCCAATGACTTCACTGACTGAGCCGCATGAGTTTTCTCCGCCTCTCTAGCTCATTCTGGACCATTCGGTAGATGAGATATTGAGAACGAATTAGCCCTCGCTGAAGAGCGCGGCTCCGCCAGAATTTGTGGCATTGTGACAGAAATTCTGAAGTGAACGCTTTCCACTGGACCTTCACGGAATATCTGCGTCGAGCGTCAGCGCGTACGCCTTGGCTGGATAGGGAGCCATGCCAAATAACACATAGGACGAAATCTATGCGCGAGCTCGAAGGCTCTACGGAGTTTCGAGCAGTCCCTTATCAGTCGAGTTCAGTATAGGAGCATCCAAGACTTGAGCCGGAGGTTCACGTTCAAAACACGCGACTCAAGGTGAGTTCAGAGGATACTCCGCAGCAACAATTGTGATACCAGAGCTCGCCGGATCATGACGGCTCCAATCGGACGCGGTTCGAAAGATCGGAGCAGCTTGAAGGCATTCAATACCCTCCGCAGTCATGGAGTTATCCGAAGAGCCCGTCGCGGGTGAACGCTTGCCAGGCTTGAAATGGTTGCTGTATGCGGCTCAGGTGAATTGAACTTTTGACAGGAATCTCTTTCATACGAGATGCAACCTACTTGAATGTGCGCGATCTGATATATTGTTTTCACTCCATCGACTCCGAATGGGATTTTCAGCTACTGGGAGCATTGTCATTGATTCTCATCGCGGTCATGGGAGCGTTGTTCGGCGGATACACCGGGCCGTCTGACCCTAAGAAATGGTTCAATTGGCACCCTCTGCTCATGACCTTGGGTCTCCTGCTGCTACAGGGAGAGTCCATTATTATCTACAGGTAGTACCGGTTTTTTCTATTCGGAAGGTCTAACATGAAGGAGAGCTCAGGACCTGGATCCTGAGCCTGATTACGGAGAAATTCACGGACATGGACCTATCACGATCCCGCTTCCGGAATCGGTGTAGGAAATTGACTTCCTGAAGCAGTAACCCGTATCCTGAAGAGCGGATTCCCCCGAGAGGCAGCGAGTCCCCCGAGAGGCGGGTCGGTTTCTGAGGAATCGGGACTGCCTCTGGGACTGCTGAAAGAACCGGCAAACTTCGGTTCCGATATCTGCAATCCCAAATGCTCAAAGGGGATTTCCCAGAGCCAAAATTCTCAGCCGAGCAGTATCATCACCGCTATACCGGGTTCCTCAATGAACTCAAATATTTTTTAGCTGATTTCCGAAAGCATCAAGCGATCGAATATGGCTTCTCCGAGGTAGGCGTGGATTCATCAAATCGACGCGAAAGGGTGGCTCGTTCCGTCCTCCAAGCCGAAAATTCATCGTTACCAAATTATCGCTCGTCCGAAGTTAGATTTGGCTCGTAATTCGAGATCGCAGAAGAGATCCGACGACCCCAGCTCAAGTTCCTGCTCCCTAATGGGTCGGATCGAGGCCGCGAGGAGGATCGGATTCGATCCGGGGATGGAGCGTTCCACAGAACCGTCATGTGATTTTTATCGCGAGTACGGCAGAAACTCGGCGTAGAATCCCGTAAATGTGATCGTCCTCGCGACAGTCAGTCCTTGGCACGATCGCAAAGACGCTCAGCGAAAAAAATCAGCCAGGTTCGTGGCCGCGATACTCTCTCGGCAGCCCGTGGCACAAGATGCGATGCGCTCGGATTGGGCGAAGAACGTACCCAATTGAAGCACGACGAACGTGTCCCCTCTGCCTGGGAGCTCCCCGCCGTATGGTTTTTCCCCCCTGGTGCTTTCCTGGGCATTCTCCGGTCGTCGCAGGCTGACCGGGAGAAGCGGCTGCTCTTCGTAGGGAGCGATCACTAGTACATATTAGTGCTTACTTCGCATGCTCGTACGGAGATATCCCGAGAGATTCATCCGTGCTCAGATTCCCGCTTGCTTATCCCCAGAGTCCTCAGGAATAAGCCGAAATTCCAACTCAAAATCGTGCATGCGGCTCTCCATGCTATCGCCTTCGCCCTGATGGTTGTCTCTCTACAGGCTGTGTTCGACTCTCACAATCTAGCGAATCCACCGTATGCGAACATGTACAGGTGAGTCTATCGCGGAGCGGAATGCGGAAGCTTCGAGATTCGGCAGCGATTCGAGTCCGAGCTGCTCGCCTCTCCTGGAAATGAAGAATTCGATGATTTTCCATGAATGACCATTCTTCAGTCGGGCGCTGCGACGCCTCTCTCCGGGAGGCTTCAGAAAAACAGAATCCACCGAACCTCAGAAGCGTAAACTATGTTCTCCGTATTTATCTTTTGCGATTTCAGCCTTCACTCGTGGATTGGACTGGGAGCTTGCATTCTATTCGCAGCCCAACTCCTCTTTGGTTTCCTCGCATTCCTTTTCCCCCAGCTTCGGGAATCTCGCAGGAAGAAGTACGTTGAGCGACACTATCCAGGCACACAGACGTCTCTGCTCGGAGCATTGAGCAAACCTTGAAGGCATCCTCGAAACGTTTAAGTCAAACATTAGAGGCGGCCGATAAGGAAGAGAGGTTTTCGTTACAGGTTGATGCCGTTCCACACCTTCGGAGGTATAGTGATTTTCCATCTGACAATCATGGCAACGTTGATGGGAATCACAGAGAAATTGATCTTCGCGCGGAATTACTCAGCACTCGAAGCTCCGGCCTTGGTTGGGAACGTATTCGGTAAATGCACACCTGGGAGACGGATCTGATGCACTGCTTGTTCTGTAATCAACATCATGAGAGGAGGATGCATGAGGTTGATGAAAGAAGACTTTTTCTTTCAGGCGTTTCCATCACTCTGTTCTCCATCGTCGTGTTTTACATCGTCTCGCAGCCCGACTACAAGCGAGTGCCTCTGCCCATTGACAGTTAGAGCCCAAAAAGTCAAGACGATCAAGACTTCGGCGATACTAGCGTCTCAATGAAAGATGAATAAAGATCTGATAACCAATAGCACTTTCGGGAACACATAGGTAATGAGCGGCGTTCTTGCGGTTGACAATATGCTTCAGCCGACCAGTATTGCTCAATGGATCTCGTTTCTCACTGCACGCCCTCGAGAGACATGTCTACCGCTACTATCTTATTAGAGAGGATCCCTGAAGAATTCCGATTCTCAAACATCGACGTTTCTAGTTATGGCTCGGGTTCGGGATGTAGTCATCGTCTTTCGAGGGATCGAGTTTTGTTCGAGCGATAATATCCCGAAATAGGCGCGCAGCGAGTGGAATCTCAGAATAAGGGCAAGCGCGAGTGCGAGAGGGCGAGTTATACCGGGCGGATGAAGATCGTGTGTTCCATGCATCGCGCCAATGCGAACTGGCTGGACGGACCCTCGATTGCGGTGAGCGGGGGTAGGATGTTCTGGCTGGTCGCCGAACGGACCTGGAGTGTCCTACGGTTCCGCGGAGGAAACCCACTCCGTCCGGCGAGGGAGTCGATAGTACAGATTATCTGATTGGGGCAGCTTTTAATTCACGATAATTCGAGATGATTCGAGAAATCCGTTCCATATCATACGCGAAGCACTTGTCCATGTTTCGGGAAACAATATGTACGACTCCAGCGAATGGACGGACCAGCTCATCAAACATATATGTTCTACGAGAGCTATCCGATGAGCCGCCATCGGTCGTGTGCGTTGTAGGTGACGATTTGTCACGAGTCACGTTTTCGGGGCATCCCGCCAACTCAGGTGCGCGATATGTGCAATCAATGTCGAAGGTGATAATGATCGCCGATCAGGTGCGTCGCATCTTCCTGGGCTCTTCCCGTTTCTCTCAAAGTCGAATGCTCTTCTAACTAAGCAGGGACATCCTCGATATCAGCTCACGTCAGAGTGGAGCGTCGTGAACTCGATAATTCAAGAGTATGCGTCGTTCGAGATGAGATATTGGACTCCTTCCGATGGCGGAAACTGGAATGTGGGGCAAAATAGTACGTCATTAACTCTTGATTTGCAGACGACTGCGTTCAATCCCATGGCGTTGCAGACGTCTCGCGGGCAAGCTTCGGCGTTCTTGAACAGACGGTATGGACGGGAGATAGGTATCCTTCGACGGGAATTTGAAGAGAACTCGACATCGGAAAGTATTGATTTTTTCTGTGACTTTCGAGTTGGGATCGAGCAAAGTAAATCCGAAGGATTGTCTGAGCTCACAGCATTGGGCAGGAATCGGTCAATGTGCTTCATCAGTCCAATTCTGCGGTGATAAGCTCGATCGCCTCCTGAGTGCCAGATTGGGCTATTCCCTCCAGTTCGACCACCCAAAAGATCCGTAGCGCCAAGTTCCAGATTCATGGCAGGGGCGAGGACGCCCATCTCGTATTATCAAGACTCATCAAACCAAAGTTGAACAAATATAATTCCTCTAACAAAAAGTTCTCATGTCCATGCCGCGCTCCACTCGATCGGCGAAAAGGCTGAGGCAAATCGCCTGGGGCGGGTGGATAGCTCTGTGCATGGAGAACGGTAAGGAAACGCAAAGAGAGCTCCGTCCCGAACTCGCTAAGCCAGAAGCAGACCTTCATCGGAATCGACAGCGAGAAAAATCTGGGGAGACATTGGACTTTGATTCATTCCGCGATGGCTCCTCGAATGCAGAATACATCTCCGCATCCGGTCGAGCTAGTATATCTAAGGGTCCTATGGAAGTCGAGGAGTCCACCAGTAGCGGGGATAGCCTGTTATTTTCTCGAATAAAGAGTAATCGTCATCCTACCCCGTTGTCGGCGCTGATTGTATTATATCAGCATTCGTTGGGATTGATCCGTGCTCATTAGTCCGAACGAATGACTCTTCCCGGGCTCTGCTCGGTCCGTGACATGTCCAGCGGAGCTCGAATCCGTCCGTAGAAAATACATCTGCAGTCGGTCGGATGACAAATAATTGTGATGTACGCGAAACTGAGAGGTGCCCATCTGTATATATAGACACCACAGGTGATATCGCACAATCAGACATGTAGGTACCATTTCGAGAGAGTCGCAGAAACGGGAAATCCTCCCGATTCAAAACAACTCAGAACGTCGGAGGCTCACTACCTTTGAGCGATATGCAGAGCCAAGAAAGAGCTGATCGAGGGGCTGTGGTCCTGGCGAGCAGGGAGAGCATGGAGCGATATAAAAGCCGCTTGAGATTCGAATGAAAAGTTTTTTCCCCCAGAGATATATATTCAGGGATTCACTCGGATAAACCGTCTGCTTGTCTTTCGGCACCTAAAGCTGTGAGAAATTCCGCCGGTCTCTCCCGAATACTTCATCTCCACTTGCCGTTCAGTGGCTCAAATCGAATCTGACCGAACGCCGATGACAGACATCTGATCGGGGCGGACGAGTCGAATATATAAATCTCCGTATTAAGGGGGAAAACGGATCAGAGAACCGCTCTGGCGGGTGCGATTGAGAGAGGATCACCCCTCGCGGCCACGACTCGGGATGGTGTCGACCCCGGCGACCCGTATCGATTTTCTCTACTGTGAAGGAGTGATCTTTGCGGGAATCCGCTGCCAGGGGCAATGTCCGCCAGGGAGCTTGCCGGCAATGGCTCCGGAAGAAAAGCAAGAGGAACGAGCAGCATTCGGAATAAAAGCAGCGATATAGCAGGTTTTCCTCTCTTGCCCGTTGAGAGTCGCGATCCTAGTCGAGCATTTAGATAATACCAATAGCTCCATCTGATAGTCAGCGAGATCATGGAAAACGTTTGCGGTATGAGCCGGGCTGGCTGGTTCGCGGCTCACTCTCTCGAAGTCTTTCTGCGGTCGGTACAAATCATGGAATACCTCTTGATCTTGAGTAGAATACCTTCCCGTGGATTCTTCTGTCGATCTGCGAGTGCGCACCTCCTCGCAGCTCGTGTCGAGGTATCCTCTCCGGCGGCCTTTCGCGCTGGACATCTAACCGAGAAGCGACCTGTCGGGAGAGCCGGTAATCCGTTTGCGTGAGAAGCATCGAGCAACTCCGTCTTTTCTTCCCATGTGTCAGAGCACTGCTATCTGATGAAGATCTGAGAGCGAAGTCTCCGCATCGATGAAGAGTGCCATCGAAGTGTGCTGAGTGCAATCGCAAGCGGCCATCGATCGGATTAGCAAAGAACATCGAGCACAGCAGCTGGATTTTAAGCGACAATGGAACGTATGACAATCAGGTTGTTCGCCTCCGTAATTATATTTTTGGTCATCGCTTCCCTCGGAGCTGACGGAGCCTTGGGTCGCATGCATCATCGGAGTTCGACTCGAACCGCCAAAAAAACCTCACGCAAGATCGTAGTCTATACATACGGTCTCACCGTGGCCGAGATCTACAGGAGCCCGCACGATCGTACTCTGCAGTACTGCAAGCTGACTGAGCTCAAGTGAGTTGGAAGGGGAGCGAGATGTACGCCGACTCTCGAAACATGATGCGCTGCCTTAGGAGGAGACCGGGTTTGGAAACAAAGTCCCATAGATTCCTTGCTAACGAAAGTAGATGAATAACAGGATGCACCGGATAACGGCACGCATCCGTGGAGACTGTCGCCCAACCTATACCGTGGCTCGCTTGACGACACTGAGTCGCAGAATCATCGTACAGTATTCCATAGAAGATGCTAGACGGGAGGGACCTTCAAGCGCAACACGTGGCTTTCGAGGGCAGCTCTCTCCGGGAGAGCACCTCGATTCGGGCCACTCTCCTCTCATTCTGCGGGCTTGCTCTTCTTCCTCTACATGCGATATGCATCCCTCGGTGGGAATTTCCGCTGAGCCATAGCAGGCTCCGACCCTATCCTTGTCGATCATCCCTGGGGCTGGGAAGTTGGCGCCAAGAGCCGTGAACTTTCACGGTGTTTTCAGGCGATCCTCCATAGGAAGTCAATTGGGAAGGGGGGGGGGTGGAAGTGCCGTGAGTTTTCGAGGAGAACGCCGTAATTGATTACCAGCCTTAATCATCCCGAATGAAGTGCGTACGCCGAGCGTTTTCATCAGTGAGCTAACTCTCATAATCGAGAGCTGTCTCCGGGTGCAAGTCGATGAGCCTCGGGGTTCTATAGAGATGCTCGACATCGAATCTTCCCCCTGGTTGGAGCTTCACGGTTGTTGGGATGATGCTGCTCTTTGGGATTCGATGGAAGCCGGTCACCTCGTGGCATTCCCGTTGTTGGTAGTGGCATGAGGGCAATCAGCAGTCTCAGAGAGGGAGGGGATCCATGTCTCTGGCCCAGGGCAATGAACTTCATGGCGTTCCGATCGGAATCGTTCATACATATGAAGACGATTCTTGGAGTTAGCGGTGTCAGGCAGAATGCAATTTTCTCGCGCCACAGCGGATTCCGGTGCTGCCTGACTGGAACCTGGTCATTTGACTCAATCCACTAAGTTTTTTTCTCTCAACTCCAGGGATGGATCGGAATGCGAATCGACACTACAAGCGATTAACAGACCTGTCAGGAACATCTGCCACAAGAAGATGATGGCTCTCATTAATGAATGCATGGAGCTCAAGAACGAGGAATCAATTTCGGAAGAGGGGAATTTGGGTGACGACACTGGTTTCTTCGAAGGCATCTGGAATGCGATTTATCCAGGTAAGTCGAACAGGGCATCTCGCCTGTTCGAACAAGGTAGCGAATTCCTGCGAGGCGTTTCGGGAAAGGCAATTCATGTTTGGGCTACTATGATTCGGAGACAGAATTCCATTGGGATGCAATTCAGCTTAAAGCGCCTGTGCCGGAATGCTCGGGAGACGCGGGATCATCCTCTCAGACGCTCAAAAAGAGGGGCTCTCGAGCTATCATGGTATTATGGTGCAAGTTCCTTCTCCCGGAGGGTGAATCTGCCGCTGAAGCTTGATTGCGACAGGGGCGGTATGAGAGGGCATTTTCATCCCGAAAAAAGGAAAACGTCCGCGCGGACATCGGGACGAAAAGCAGACTCCAACACCGCACAATTCATTCTATGTATCCGGCCTGTTCCATGGAGTTAATTGATTTTCCCATTTATCTCCTTGTAAGCAACACTCGGGTGAGCTCCAATGTCCCTATACCAACGTATAGATACCATTCGCTGAGGGGGAAATTTTCAATCAAACCCCAGGCTCATGCTGTCGGCCCCTCGCGGCTAAAAAACAAGAAAATTTCGGGAAGTCAATTTCCGATCGAATCCTGCGCCACTTCCGCGGAGAACCTAGAAAAGCGGGCACTCTCTGTGAAACTTCGAAGGGCGGAAAAATCGGACAAGTAAGAACGTGTCCTCTCATACCGCGTTTCTAAGGATTTCCGCTTGCCGTCATCCGTCTCGGCTTGATTTGAATGATATGTGGTCTGCTTCAGCTTTCATCGGAAAGAGACCGGGCAAGTTTCGAAACCTCCGCGTGAAAATAGCTCGCGGGGCGCCTCAGAGTATCATTTTCATTTATGCACCTCGGGGTCCTGCCGAAAGAAAACTGATGAGCTGGCATTATTTTCCTGGATCTCCCGAGCGTGCACAGTCTGGGAGCTTACGGATCGAGTCCCATGAGCGTATTCACTAGCGGCGTCGAGTCATCCTTCTTATCGTTTCGTAGATGCCGACCGAAATATTCTCCTGATGCGGACTCCTTGAACCCGCAGGTTTTGTGGCGGAGACGCCGGAGGGGGGATCGGGCCGAGGGAAAGAAAAAGGCTTCTTTTCGTCTCGCTGAGAGGGCACACAGGGGGCATCGCTCTATCCAAGTGAACAAGGTCCACAATTTGTATTTTGTAATCGAGAGTGTCCATGCGCCAGATTGTTCGGCGTAAATCTCCGGGTCGATGTCTGACACTCCTTTCAGAGATTTTTTCTTCTTTCACGAGAGCAAGGACTTGCTCAATGGCTTTCTCTGTTCGCCCCTCATATGTGGAAGGCGGATGAACGGATCACGGCGCGGATAGACGGCAGTATCGAAGGAAGTCGCTTTTGGCCCGCCGGAGAAAGCAGCCAGGCCCCGACGATACGATCTAAAAGCAGTGGAGCGGTAGGACTCCGCTTCAAGCTGATTGGAAAGCCAAAGACTCTGCCGGATCGGAACCTCGGGTGTTCCTCCCGATATGCCTCCCAGACTTTCAGAACCCTCCCTTCATGAACCGAGCCTATCTGACCACAGAAATCTCTTCAAGGAACCAAGTGGTGTGGAGCGGGACATCTGGCGAGGAACTACTTCGATTTGGGCTCAGAGGTCTTGGTGGACAAATGTTGCAGAGCTCACGATCACTGTCCGATAAAGGTGAATGAAACAAAGAAACGTGTCGTTCAATCTGGAACCTCTGCTTTGATGGAAAGCCTCGATGGACGACATCTAGACTTCATCTCAATCATGACCCACGGCTTCGTTGCGACCAGCCTATACGCTGCGACCAGCCGCGTTCTCTCGTTATAAGTTCTTCGTGGTTCATTCTTCTAAAGCTTGACATTCGAAGCTCAGTCCTCTTTGACAACGTATCGTGCGTCGGAGCGCTTTTCTCAGGTCGTTGTGCTCGATTCTCAGGTCCGTCCCTGGCAGTTTGGTTACGGAGAACGCAACTATAGTCCGTATACGAAATCACATTGCGACTGTGATATCGACTTCTTCAAGTGTCTGACGGCGGCCAACAGCTCAACAGCTGACACGATTGGTGATCTCTTCTTCAATGCCATGAGAGTCAGCTGTCTCAGAGAGAAGCCCGGGCTGAATATCTGTCCGAACGCGGGGTGAGTAATCCGTTCATTCGCCTTCCACATAGAATGTCTTATTGTTAGTCTCACTGATTGTTTGTGATTCTTGGTGCGTTCTAAAGATTGACCAAATAGGACCCGATTCCATTGCAGCTCGACTGAGAGTAAATGTCACACCGCTTCCCTCATAGACAAGCTCGAGCTCGGGTCGTACGCCGCGGAAATCAAATACCTGAATCGAACTTGCACGCGCAGGTCCCGTTCTTGACGCTCTTTTCCGCCCTGCCTCAGCCCTTGATGAGTCGCGCCCCGCGCTCAGGGTCTGCTCGATTGCCGTGGCGCGGTGGCAGCCTTGCCACATAATTGTACATACGTGAGCATGCCACCTAGGAGACGCCGTATCGAGTTCGGTGAGAGCTGAGACGGCCCGAATCATTTCGAGGATTCCTCAAGCGAGCTAGGAATTCAGAGAGACCTACCGTAGATCATGCTTCAGCTGCGCTATTACGTGACTGCTCATGATTCTCCTCATAGCTCAAAAAGAGTTCCCATCGTACCACAACATGACGGAAGTCGAGGATTTGTCCTATGCAGGAGAAGAGCCTATGATCGATGAAGATCGAGGTAGAACCTCGGCAGCTGACACGTGTATCCTTATCAATTCGTATGAAGATACAACGGAATCCGCCTCAGTCAGAGATGAAATATCCCTCTCGAGGAGTTCAAGCTAGGATAAGCTCGCCTCAGGCATCTGGATCGAGATCGGATATTCAGACGATGGCGTTCGACCTCGATCCAGTCGATACGATACCTAGTAAAATCCTCAAAACATCATCCACCTTTATTGAATCGTTAGCCTGCGGGAGATTCGAGACCAGACAGTCTGGTCATCAGTTATCATGGTATGCTTCGGGAAGAGATCGGATAATCGCGGTCGGGATAGGTACTTGGAATTCCGTGGGCTAATTATTGAGAAAGAGTTATCAGACGGAAGGAAACTATAAATAAATCGTCTGATGAAAACTGCAATGTACAATATCTTCCCATCATCGGCGACGGGATTTCGGATTTATTCAAAACGCAATCTTATTCAACGAGATCATGGAGAAGTAGCTTCTTCATTCAAGCCTCCGACCCTGGTGGGTCTTCTTTCTCTTGCTCCGCCTGCTTTTCGTCCCTCTCCGAGCTTTCCGCCGGCGGTCCAGATGCAGGACTTGATTGTTCGGGGAGTCCATCCTCATCGACTTTGGTGAGCAGGCTGCACACGATTGAGCCCTCCACTGATAGCTTGTATTCACAAGCTTTCGGCTCTTGCAGAGATATGCTCACCGCGTCCGGATGACCGGGTACGGCTTTACATCTGCGGATTGAACATGAGTCAAGACATCTCTCCCCAGAATAGGGTATGCATTGAATTCCTCCTCAGCGTCTTCAAAAGTCATCCTCCGTATATTCACAACACTTACGAAAGTTTCACTTCCACGGTTCGCGGTTTGCCCGTCACGGCACACATATCGCCGTCGCTGTAGAAATGCTTCACGTACAGAGGTCTCGGAGGGACTTTCCGCGTCGGGTCAGCGGACACCCATTGCTGCGAAACGTACACTGTCGCTTTATGTCTCCGGATTTTGCGGCCAGGAATGATTAATGATCAAGGCTCCAATCGAACATATGCCTCTACATATAGTTCCAGTCGGGTAATAAATCCTACGCTCGAGTGAGAAGCTTCTCTTCGAAGGAAGTGAATGGATCAATGTCCGATATCGGCCAGGGGATCAAACTCACTCTGTGCTTGTCCTCGTTCCATTTGCCCAGGAGGATTTCCTGCATTTTCTCGTTCTTCTCGAGGTGGTATTGAGTGACCCATTTCCCATAGCAGAATTCGTATCGCCACCAACCGGACCCCTGTTGGAACATTGCGAGAGCTGATTAAGCCAAACGAGGCGTGGAGATTCAATTATTTAGGAAGGACAAAGCATAATAATGGCAGGCGTACCCCGGTCAGGCATGTATCTCCGCTGAGAATTCTCAAGAGATCCTCAGCATCTCGATCAAGTGGTAGCTCTGATCGTTCATCGTCTTCGTCTTGGAGGAAGAATATCTTCAGGTTTCTCTGCAAATGAATGTCCCGGAGTTTCAACATGCACCCACGGAGTCGGGAGAATACGGTCCGCGGAGCCGAATCCAGCGGAAGATCGCGCTCGGTTTAGGGGAGAAAGCCGTACATTCCTTGGGGTTCCTAATGGAGATTCTAACGGATACTGCGAACACAAAGCGGGAACTTTCAAAACTCAGGAGAATAATGGGAAAGATCGGGACGACGCGACTTCCGGAGACAGTATTCGACAGAAAGGCTCATGGCTCATGTCACCAATCAATGGGTTTCCCGGGTAGGGCTCAGGGACCTAATAAGTAAACGAATAGCTGTCGAAAAACCTACTTCCCTTTTATTTTGAACAATTGGAAAGTCAGTCTCCATGCTGGTAAGGCCGCTTACCTCAATAGCATCAACAAGATTCTAAAATGAACCAAAATCTCCTTAAATCCTCATCGAAGTCATGCAGGATGGAATTACGAGTTTTTACATTTGTCATTGCAAACTCCGAGATCTAGGAAGACGCGAAAACGCTCAGGATTTCCTGAGGAAGCCCACTATAACATCGCCCGCCTTTTGCCAAACGAACCGTGGCGTGGAATGAGCCCGACGATTTTATTCGGGGATGACCACAAGAGAAGAAAGATCAGGGAATGATCGTGTACACGGGTAAGTTTGTCCCATAGGATGGATGGCAGAGAATGACACGCGGATACACACACATATTTGGAAGTTCGCGACTCTAGAACACTACGGACAAATATTTTTTGTGGAACGCATTAATTCGTGATTATAATCCGAAATCGCACGTTGGGGAGGTTTCCACTCTTCTCCTGAAAACACAGCAAACAAAATAAAAGGACTTGCAACGCAAGAACCAAGCTGGTGCGGTGCTGCAGAGAGAGTTCGTGTGCGTTCGTGGCGGAACGTAACCCTGCTCCGTCAGATACGAACGATATTCTCCGCCATGACGGCGGAACCACAAGTCGAAACTTCAAGAACCATATCTTTCTACCCGAGGATTAGCGAGAAGAGGACGGTGGGGGAAACCCATGCGAGGCCTGAGAAACTCCGGCTGGTATAGGGGGGGACTCTGTTTAAGGTCGGACGACGGAAGAGCAGACAATGATTGATGACCTTATGACTATCAACGAGGATCGAAGCTGGAACTACCGAGCGATTCTCTACTGGATTGGGAGAGGAACTCATGCGGGGCTATTGGAAAGGAACCGTCTTCTCGGATAATTACTCACCGGCGAGCCCATCCCCACAGTTTAATTTCACCTCCATACCCAGAGATCGCGTCCAAGAGTCCAACTCACCTTGAAATCGCTGTTGTACTGAATTCCCTCGTTCTCCGCGGAAGAAGTCGCTCTGAAGTCTCGATTCTCGCGCTCTTGTTCCTGCAATCTCTTCGGCTGATTCAGGTTCCTCTCAATTACTTCGGAGCCGTCGTTCTCCTCGGACGACTCGCGCGTTTCCGTTTCCTTCACGGATTCAACATCGAGCTTGTCCCCGGCTCGATGACAGGAAATTTCATTCTCTGGCGTCGTCCCCACCCTGCGGATGGTTGAGAAATCTTTCGTGCCGGACGATAGAGGGGGTCGATTTTGGCAGCAGGGCAAATCGGAATAAGCAATTCTCAGTAGTCTTTTTTTTTCAGCTGACCTGAACATGGGGTGACTGCACAGAAGTGGAGTGCGGACGACGACTTTGTACTTGCAAGTCGACGTTTCCTCGAAGGAATGAACGTCATGATCAGAAAGCTCATCACAGATGTAGAAAACCTGTCCAAGTAAAAATAGAAGATCAGAATAGAGTTCTGGTCTCTGAGAACCAAGATCGTTGGGACGCTTCTCAACGCCGCCCACCAGAGCCGTATCAGAATCGGATTTTCCCAGGAAAACCGATCTCCGGCAGCGACCCCCGCTCGAGCAGAGAAACTCACCTGAGTAGATCGTGGTTGTCCATTGATGTCACAGAGCGTACCGAATGACATGTTTAGGACGAAAGCCGGATAATCAATGCCGTCGACTTTGGTCACGGGGGGGTTGATGGAGTGTTCCATGTCATTGATTTTCACGTTTCCGGTATCAGAGTCAGACTCCACTCGTTTAGGAGGTGGCTTGCTCGTATAAGCCCTCAACTTCTCTTCCAGTCGGCTCTTGTAAATTTCATCTGGAATGATGCCGAGCGTGTCGAATACTGTTCCGAAAAGCCATAGCACCCCAATGAGGCCTGGCTTGCTTACCGACTCCCGACGGAGCGGGAGTCGCTTGTATCGATGAAAAATCGGTCAAAGACTCTTCGACTCACTGTCGCGCTTCCTAGTTTCCGGATCGGATTTCCCCAAATAGAACTCCATGATGGCGACTTTTGACGCGATCGTATCTTCGTGATATTGACGAAGCGACCGACCATGACATAGCTGATACGTCCAGTATGAGTCCAACTGCGGAAACGAGAGACGTCATCAATCATGACGACCTGTTCACTGTTCGCGAGTACACCTTGAAAACTCGACGATCGGGCTTAGCTATGGGGCAAATCTACGGAAATGATCTCGGATCGTCGGGTACCTTGTATCGACAGACTTTGTGCGAAAACAAGGGCTCTAGAAGCTCATGAGGCGTAGGACCAACGTAATTCCTGACGTCTGCGTCCCGGCCTTCGACCTGCAGTGTCTTGGGCACATAACAGACGTAAGGTTCCTTATCTGCACTCATCATCCGGACGAATTCGAAACCCTGAAACATAAAAGAGCGTAATTTGCAGTCCGCGGGCCCTACTCGCGATTCATCTTGGAAGCTTGACCGATTCTGGAGACTTCTCCTCCGGAAGGCGGTTTCCGGAGTAGAGATACCAGATCGCAGATACATGTCACGGAGAACGGCGAAGTTACCTCTTTGGGTATGTTTTCGAGCGAGTCGAGGGGTTCTTTCCATCGAATCTTGAAGAGGATAGACTCGTCAACTCCCGCGATGTCGAAGCAGTATACGGTGGACAGAAGGCACATCCACGAGAGCGCGGCGCAGAACTTAACCGCCATCTGTGACGAAAGAATATATTAAACGGCGATTATATCGATTTGATAGATCATCTCAAGAGAAACGTGAAATGGGAGCGAGCATCGGGCACATTTTGAGAGCCCTCCGGACCAATACCGGAATACCGGCATCATCTCGCGTCTTTGGCAATCTATCCATTAGAATGAAGAATCTTCAGGAGGGACGGGACCGCCGTCGGATAAGGTGCGCATCACGGATTAGATCGTAGCAAGAGCCATTGATCCACGGACGAAGTATCATCATAACTTGCAGCTCATCTGACGCTCCCCAAATACACTCACCTCGACTCTTCTTTGTTATTCACCAGTGTTGACTAGAATACATAGATTTGGTCGCATATCAATGATTGTGCTTCATTCCTCCTGCATCGCAGAGAAGAAAGCAACCTCTCGGATCCAGGAATAATCTGACGTGGATTCCACTCGGCGTTCGAATGACGAGAGTACCGCACAGTCAATTCACAGATGTCAGCTGAAGTGTCTGCTCGATCATGACAACACGGCTCTCTCGGGGCCCGCGGCGGTGGTTCTGCCGCCTGCACTCCGAGGGCCGATTCCGACGGAGAACTTCGAAAAACACTCGTGAAGACCTACCGATCGGGAATTCATTCCATATCTCCCCTAAGAGGACGCCCAGTCGGACATTGGAAAGGTCTAAGCTGCTTCAGAAAGCCGGAATCGATGTTCACAAGAGTTTTACGGAGAAAGCGGTCACCGAGGGCTGTCGGGGCTCGCGCCGAGATCGTTTAATACAACTGTGCGTGCAATTGCCCCGCTCCGATATCCAGCGAGAATGGCCAGATTCACCTGCGAATATGCGCCCCAACTTAAAGGTTTTTCATCGCCGCAGCAGCAGAATCCAGCCCCGTCTTCCGACTTTTAAGGGACTCTCGTTCCGAGAGTTTCGAGGCGGATGGCAATAATAACAAACTTGCGAAATGGCCTCCCTC